ACACATGCTGGAATTCGACAAAGCCACCAAGTTGTTCGCTGAAACCGAAACTTTATTTGACTTTTTCCCGGATGCAGACCCGCTGCGTGTAAGCATTGGAAGCATCAATGGTGAAAGCACGTCCCGGATTCTTCAACTAGAACTGATCTTGGTCAAAGAACTGCAGACTGATTACACGGTCCACTGAAATCAATGTTTGAAGGGATGAATTGTAGATTATACAACAGAACATTATCATGTTCTCCTCCGCTGAGAGGTAACGTTAGGTCAGCAAAGTAAAGCCCCCGGGCGCGCAGTGGCTACGATCGACCCTGTCAACGATCTCCAGCAGTCTTTACAATGCAATCTTTCGATGTCTGCTCGTACCCGGCGAAATAGCGGGAACAAGGTATCGTCCTAGGGCAATCCTCTTCGATTTCGTACGCGATTCCCGATGACAAATCAGCGATTTCGAATGAGGAAAAGCCAGTGTCTGACCAACGGCAGTGGGCGATTAGATCGCTAGAACCAGAAACGAAAGAGGGCGAGTAGTACGGGTGGTCGCCGTGAAGAACAGGTACTGAGATCACATCCCTGCTTCCTATAGGCTGGACAACGGTCACTCCAGCGGCTTGAAAAACAGCTCGTCCCCCAGAGTCGTCTATATGGAGCTCCTTGAAAGCATGCACCCTCATGCTATCCTGAGTTTCTAAAGAAAGCAGATCCACGCCACCTCTGATAGTTTCTGCCATTTGCATCTCGACATGAGCGCGGAATCGGATAGGATAAGGAGTTCCACCAGTGACCCGTTCCCCGTACCGGTTGCTAGCCAAAGGAACACGATGTATTTGACCTGCTCCCCAGATGATAATAGCGTCATCGGTAGGAGTAAACGCAAAGGAAGGATATGTTCCCATTGGTGCCCAAACTGAGCTTAGATCATACGTTAGGCCGTCGAAGACGTGGTGAATGGTACCGGTGTCAAGGTCCCTGGAAAGACATTGTCAGATGATACCAACGGTGCGAAAAGAGCGCATACTTCAGGACAAGAACTTCATGGTCTCTTACTCGTCGTACAAATGCGAGGGTTCGTCCATCCCGAGATAGCTGGGGTCGGCTGGCACCACCAGGAAAAGCATCAACAAGGGTCTCCTCCTCTCCACTGGTCACATTGAGTGAAAAAATGGAGTAAACGCCCTTATGTATGTCTACGTGGCATGCTATCAATAGATGCAAGGTGGTGAAGCGACTAAAGAAAAATCACCTTTGCCTACGGAAATAATATATGAGTCTTGGACGTTTTTGGCGTAAATGAGAGTATCGTTGCTCCTCCAAAGGAATTGCTCAGGACCTATCTGTTGATTATCATAGTCGTCCACTGTCATACCAGCAGGAAGAGTCCTGCCCAGGATACGACGGCCACTCTGCGGCCTGATCGGTTTCTGGGGTTCGTCTGAGAGCGACGGGACATCGTACTCCCACCCTTCCGACGCAGACAGAGTGATTTTTGAAGTATACCATTTGGATGCGATTATCTTGTTGCCCGAAGGATGGAATCTTGCATCGGAAACCCAGCGAAATGTCTCATTCGTTACACGCCTCGCTGAAATTCAAGACAGGTCAGACAATATGATCCTGACAACAAAGAGGCAAGCAATACTTACCTCCAAGCCTGCCCTCACGTTTCAGGCGATTAGATTGCTCGTCGAGGATACGGGGCAACGCTACCGTCGGCCTGACGTCCATCTCATGGCACCCACACCAGGCCATGACCCAGATATTCTCTACTCCTAACCCTGCATCACTGCGAAACACAATCCTGTCGCCCTCTGGAGAAAAATGGGGGTCCGAATCGTAGGGAACACCAAGTAGGACAGGACGGGCCCTCGCCACACTGTGACGATCCTGCTCGTCACCAGGGATACAGTACACGTCTCCAAGCATGTCAAAGACGATATCCCCCGTCGTAGGATGCACATCCAAACGCAACCAGGTCCCCTCCTCAACATCGTACTCGAGCAGTCGTGGGTATGGAAAGTCGGTGGATATATCCCAGGGTTCCTGTTCGCGGTACGGCCAGATGTTGTCCTGCCATTCGGGTGCTGAGTCTGTGGTGTGTATGGTGCTGAAGTTGAGGCTGAATAGCGATGCAGAAGCGGCACAGATAAGAATGAGGACGAGATATCTGACACTGAGTCTGGGTCCTTGGTTGACCAGGCAAGCCGGCGACGATGCTATGTGAGAAAAAATCAACGACAGTATAAAAATATTTGAGCTTGACCCGCACAGTTGTTGCCCGTAGGGTCAACCTTTGAAGCAAGTGTGCTCATTATTGACTCTTCCCATTACCGTCGACCCTGCATGTAAAGTGTAGCACATCACAACACGGCAGAAATTCGGAAGTGCCGGTTCAAAGTTGGAGAGTAAGAAAAAAATTGGTTGGATTTTTGCGCAGGCCGCTAGATAGCCAGCACATATGTTACTTTGATAAATTCGCATATATCTGAGCAATAAAAATCCGAATAGCAAAATTTCTTAGGCTTCAGCTTCAGCGGTGCCGTTCTTAGCCTCTTCCTCAGGCTTGGCTTCCTCCTTCTCATCATCCTTGGGGGCCTCCTCATTAGAGTGCTCCTCTTTGTGCTCTTCTTCAGCCTTAGCGTCATCCTCTTTTGCGTGCTCCTCTTTGGCTTCGCCATCTTCTCCCGGCGCTTGCTTGCTTCCAACGACAGCCGCGTTGACACTGACATGCGTCATGATTTTACAGTGAGACAAGCAGAGCCGGACAATCACTCACGTCAACATGACTTGAACTTTTTCTTTTTCATCGCCGCCGTCTGGATTGGGTAGCTCCACCGAGAAGCGCTTAGTACCTTTCCAGCCGTAGCTGCCAGTAGCAAAGCTTGTGGGCAACAGTGCCAATGTCGCCAAGAACCCAGGATCAGCTGAGGTAGCGGGAGCCGACTCGTCGTCAGCAATACTGGGAGGTGTGTGTGTTACATTAATGTGTAAGGGAAGAGCCTTGTTCTTGAATGTGGATGCGGGCAAGGAAGCCTTCGAATCAAAACCGGGGGGTTCAGAGGGTTCCCTTACCGGAATAATAGAGTAAATGTATACCTTAGCACCTCTTTTACCGCCCTTCTTTGCGCCCTTGGTTGCTGTGGCATGTGTGCCATTGTCAGTCTTTGCCGCCTTGGATGCTCGGGTTGTGGGGCCAGTAGTGTCGTCAGACGCTCTTTTCGTTCCTAAATATGAAAAGGTAAGTAAGTATCAATCAGAGCAGAAAATGAACTAGCCAGCCATCTTTATTGTGGAGAGCGGAGTTACGCTGTGCAGAAATGGGTGAGGATGATGGGGTGCGTCTAAGAATGGTTGACCAAGGAAATGAATTGATTTTCGATTTATATTCCCCCCTGGCGACCACATGACGTCACGCGTCGTGCCACCAATGTCATGTGACCAGGCGCGTTCAATAGCCGAGAATAAACCGGCCGCAGAGAACGGCGTCCTTGTGTCCGCGACCATTAGGCGAGCCAGGGAACAAAAGCCGGAATACGCAGAGACGGAATGGTGTGAAAGCAGCTTAATTCACTAGAAATACAAGTCAAATACATACGAATTACAGGTCAAACTCAAAGTCGGAATCATCTCCGTCATCTCCTGAACGTCTGATATTTTTCTGTGTTCTTCCGTTAGTAGAGGGTGGCAGCAGAACGCATCCGAGCGGAAGGATCACGGCGGTCTTCCGAATCGTCGTCGTCCGAGTCGTCGTCACCACGTCGTTGCTCTGTCGGAGGAACATCGGGGAGGTCGACGGCGCCAGTCATTAGTAAAATGGCTTCCAGCTCTATGCGAAGGGTGAGCATCAATGAGCCGACTCATGACCGCAAAAACCGCACCTTCAGACCGTCGTTCCCGGTCCGAGCCCCAAGCGATGACTTGATTGCGAATCTCTCCTTTCCGGTATATGATCAACATAGGTATACGAGAGTCGGGGAGGTTCGGTATGCATTTATCGCCAACGATGGATACAAATTTTGTCCGGGGATAGCGTGTGGCCAATGCGCGAATGTGCTCAAAAGTACGTTCGCTTCGAGGAATCCTTGTGGTTCGACGAGTTAGACATTGGGTAGGAGTCTCAGGCAAAGCCTACGTACCCGTCTTTATACAAGAAACAAACGACTCCTGTACCCTTCTCTTCGTCATCATCCTCTTCATCGATCTTGCTTGCATCAGTCACTTCTCGAGTATAGTCGTCCCGTCCGATGGGATACACCCGTCCGAACCGGGCTTTTTTCTCAGCATTTCTTTCCAAGGCTATACGTTGTCGTCGATGGGCAGCGATCAGGCGTTCCGTCTCATCGTCAGGAGCATCTTCACTCAGCTCTTTGAGCTCGGAAGGTGTGTAATCCTCCAGCATCTCTTCTAGCGTCGGAGACGGTGGAGGTGATGGCGATGAAGGTGTAGGCTCTCGTGGGGGGATAATACCATGCTTCCGAAGAGCATCGTTGCTGTATACTGTACTCAGCCACCGATGACAGGAATAAGTCAGGAAAACGCACAATTCTGTATCTTCGTTGGGATTTATTGACATTATGGTCCTTCACGCAGACAGTCAGAAAACGTAATGCTTATATATTCCTTGGCTGTGACTGGGGCGCAGTCGACCGTAGAATGACTCAGAGGAGAGGGTGATGGTGAAAGAGAAGCGGTACACGTGGTTATGCTGTTCCATTTGGATAATGTGATATGCAAATCCGGATTTCCTTCCCTCTCTTCTCTCGTTCTCCTCAGCAAGCTGTCAGCTGTAGAGACGTGTGGTGCACCTTGTTTCCTGACCCTGCCTTCCTACCATGTCCGCAATCGAAGGGGACACTTTGATTCCCCGCAAGTACCAAGAAGAGGTCTTCGTCCAAGCCCAAGAAGGCAATATCATCGCAGCATTGGGAACTGGTAGCGGCAAGACCTTCATTAGTATCCTTCTCATTCGATGGATTGCAACCAAGGAGGCTTCCCAAGGCAAAGCTGTCGTATTTCTGGTTCCGAAGGTAGCGCTAGTCGAACAGCAAGGCGACTTTATCGCCAAACACACGTCGTTACGCGTCATAAAGCTGCACGGAGCTCTCGACATAGATTTGACCGACAGGGCTGGATGGCAGAAGAAATTCCTGCAGAATGACGTCTTTGTGATGACAGGTAGCCGTGCCGCATTTATATTTGCAGCACGCAGTACTTATCTGATGCGTCACCAGCGCAGATATTCCTCAATCTTATCACTCATTCGCTGTGGAGCATACCGAAGGTATTGATTTCCTACCGCAGCAGTCTGATATTAACTCTTGGGATAGGTCTCTCTGATCGTTTTCGATGAATGTCACCATACACGGAAGAATCATCCGTACAACAGCATTATGCGCGAATACAAACATGTCGCTACCTCTGACCGGCCAAAGATATTCGGGATGACCGCCTCTCCCATTCTGAACCCACGAGATGCCATTCGTTCCATGGAAGAACTCGAGGCAAACCTAGACGCCACGATCGTCGGCATTCAGACGCATGTTTCCGAGCTTATGGAAAACTCGCCTAAGCCATCGGAGGTATTTTCCATTTATTCATTACGTCCACACGTTTATTTATCCTTTGCCGCAGACTATACAGATATACCCGCCTCCTCCCTTGAGACCCAGCTGCCCCATCTCTACATTATGGGCCTCGTTAACTGTTTTCGATATCATGCAATATTCCGACATTGAGGTTCCTTGGGCAGAAATCGAGCGAAGATACCATGTAACACTCCACAATCTAGGTCCCTTCTCAGCGTCTCTCTATCTTCATGCAGAGATGTGGCATCAAATTAGGACGTTAATACTGCAAAATAGCAGTTTCATCTCAGAGTCCGCGGCTGGGGAGACCGTTGAAGTTGTTACCGCACCAGCCCCCAAAGAACTTCCTGCTGAGGTATACCACATTGCTGAGATCCTCCTCGATTTTCAGTCCTTCTTCATCCTCGAGTCGAATCCAACTTGCTCGCCATTACCCATTCCGCTCGAATGGTGCACACCGAAGATTAAGACACTTGTCGACGTAATCCTGGCACATCATTCCTCCACTTTCCAGGGCATCGTATTCGTAGAGCAACGGCAGACAGCTATGTGTCTCGCCAAGCTTCTTCCCAACATTCCGCAGCTCAACGGTCTCGTACGATGCGCAGATTTAGTGGGCCATGGTGTCAACAGCGAAGGAGTGTCCAAGGACATTACAACGGCTAATCAAGGAGAGGTCGTTAAGTCGTTCCGAGCCAAGGAAATAAATTTACGTCAGTTTACTGCATTCCGTTTCATGGCTCTTGTTTAATCGGTTTATGACAGTTATCGCCACTTCTGTAGCTGAAGAGGGCCTCGATTTTCCGGTGAGCCATCATACCTTAACCGACCGCTTACCTTCCCTCATACGGAATCATCATCTAGGCCTGTGATCTGGTCATCCGTTTTGACAAAGTCCAGCATCTGGTAGGATATGTTCAGTCTCGTGGGCGTGCTCGAAACAAGGCCTCGAACTTTGTTATCATGGTTCAAAACGACGACATAGCCTACCTCTCCAAGTACCAGCAGCTATGCTCTGCAGAGCCCGAGCTAAAGGCAATCTACCAGGCCCGGCGGGAGGAAAGCGAAGTCAAAGCCGCGACAGAGGAAGAAGAGGAAGAGATACTTGATCCCCTCGACCTAGCGGCTCGCGAGCGGTATGACATTCCGTCGACAGGCGCTTTCGCCAGCTACGATAACTCTATATCGTTGCTTAACTACCTATGCTCCCTCATTCCTTGCGACAGGTACACCCCTCAGCATGTCCCTGTCTATACCGGAGATTTCCAATCGACCCTTCGTCTCCCTGCAGCCCTTCCGATCCCCTCTGAAAACCTGCTTTTCCACGGTCCTGTGAAGCGCTCGAAGAAGGAGGCGAAACGCGCAGTAGCCTTTCAGGCTGTGAAGCGTTTACACGCTCTAGACGTTTTTGATGACTACCTCCTTCCGGTCTCTAGTAAACGTCAAAACGACAAGGATTTGGATGGGAGAGCTATACCTGAGGTCAACGTTCCGGAAACATTGGATGTTCCGGTTCGGGATCCTTGGACATTAGGTCCTAATCTCTGGATGCATGCGGTCTTTATCGACGGGCGACATGTTGCTGGGTTGATCACCGGCACGAAACTTCCTGAAGCCTCCGTTCGTAGTTATTCTTCGGTTGCCGAGATTCGACAGGCCCAACGAGTGCCCCTGACCGCGTCAGAGCGAGTAACCATGGATCAGTATACGAGGCAGGTTATTTGGCATCGCAACACAGCCAGAGAGACCATTCTCCCCCTCAGCCTTTTCCTTGTTCCAATGACTTCGTCTCACTTGCCTGATTTTGATGCTATGAACCGTCTTCTTGCTGACCCTCAAGGGACTTCTGATTGGAGCAGCATTGGTGAGCAGGACTATAACAAAGTGATGGTCTTAAATCGAAATCAGAACGGGAGGCCTTATCTCCTCCATCGTATCCGCCACGACCTTACTCCCATGTCAACTCCTCCTCCTGGCTCGCCTGAAGCTACTTCCGCAACCTACTATGAGTTCTTCGTCAACCGTTGGACTAGGAAGAAATGGACAGCAGAAATTCCCACTGATGGACCCATGATCGAAGTCACTATCTTACCCCGTTCGAATATAGGTTCGTATACCCTTGAGTCGCAAATCGACAAGGCATCCCAAGGATCTCAAAGTCAGCTGGTTCGCCTTCTACCGCTTGGTTGTTGTGGCTGGCTAGATATGTCGTACGATATGATCCAGGCTTATCAAGTTCTTCCCCAACTCAGCCGTCGTATCACCGACATATATCGTGCCTGTCAAGCAAGGTTTGAACTAGGACTTCCTCCAATCTTGGATGACCTGCTAGTCCAAGCCTTGACTATACCGGGCACCCAAGCCAGCTTCAACAACCAGCGCCTGGAAACCCTAGGTGACGCCGTATTAGAACTCTGCACCACTGTTCATCTCTTCAACAAGTATCCCTACCGGCACGAAGGTCAGCTCGATAACATGAGGCAGGGAAGTATCTCCAATCGTTTCCTCATGGTGAGAGCTTTGGATGCGGGCTTGCATCATTTCGTTACCGGGGAGTCTCATAGCTTGAGGACGTGGAGATATGTTTTGGACGAGGATGGTGATTCCGAGGATGCGAAGCGCTATGCACAACGGACGTACCCAAGGAGGAGTCTTCAGGATTGTATGGAGGCTACGTTGGGTGCAGCTTTTGTTACGGGTGGGATACCTATGGCTTTGCATGCAGGTTTTGCGCTTGGACTGGCTATGGGAGATCCCACACCTTGGCCGGAACGTTATGGCATGAAATCTGAAAGAGTCGTGTCATCCCTCTTCTCTCAGCTGGAGGAACGACTAGGGTACAGGTTCCGGAATGGCCGTCTCCTTGTCGAAGCCGTTACTCACCCTTCGTTCGCGTCGTTCGCTGATACTACTTCCTATCAGCGGCTTGAATTCCTAGGGGACGGTATTTTTCATTTTTGTTCTTGTAACCTGCTACTGCATTCTGATGTCATTGATACAGCATTGCTGGATCTCGTCGTGGTGCATTATCTGTACGCAAAGTTTCCGGAAGCCACCTCTGAACAACTGGCTCTTCCCCGAACTAAGGCTGTCTGTTCAGCTGCTTTGGCCTTTCTAGGCGTCAAGCATCTCGACTTGCATACAGTCGCACTCATCAACAACGTGGAGCTAAGCATGGCTATGGAAGATTACGTTCCCATTCTCAAAACGCTTTCAAGTACGGATATCGTTACGCAGGGATACAAGTATGATCCGCCAAAGGTGATCAGCGATATTTTTGAGAGTGTTATGGGTGCTGTCCTCATCGATTCGGGATATAACTACGAGCTTGCTGCAGCGATAGTGGAGTATGTTATGGAGGATATACTGGTCGTCCTTTCTCCGACTGTTCGCCGGGATCCCGTTACTGAGCTGTATCAGTGGGTCGCCCGTTCAGGCTGTCGAAACAAGATTGTCATCTCGTGCGACAAACACTGCTCTTTTTTTCGCGTTACGTTTCTGACGCTTGCTTCGTAGACACGAACCCAAGGGGAAGCACGTTGGCGTAGTGATTTATTTGCATGGCGAGCATATCGTTGGTCCGATCGTTTCCAGCAGTCTCGGCACCTCAAAATTTGCTGCGGCTGAGAGGGCTTTGGGGATCTTGAGAGATGACACCAAGGACAAGAGTCTGGATCGGATATGCAACTGTTCCGAGTTAATGGATGTTGATACAGGGATTGCATTGGAATCCGTGGGTGATGGTATCGAGAGACTGTCATTACAGAGAGATGGCGTAGAGGAATCCGATTTAGTCATCCTGCAAGCAGAGGGTGCCAACTTGGATTATACGATTGAGTGTGGCTGACATTGTGTCCTATACTTTGCAACAATGTTCTTTATATTTTTAACCAGTGTTTGTGTGGTTCAATCAGTTCGGATAGTGGAATGCCCAACAATAAACCGCGTCAGTATGGTGGCTTTCTTTATATTAGTCAAGAAGTTAGCTTGATGAATAGATCGCATATCTACGTATATGATGAGTCTCAAAAAATTGATCTACCACCCTTCCTCACCGGCACAACGTCCTCTGTAATTACATTCTACCAACAAGTCAGCTAGTGCATGTTCAGGGTCAGAATAAAAATCCATCAACGCCCAACCCCGAAGCCTTACTTCGGAGCCGAATAGATCTTTAGACTCGACGACGTCCATACCGCTCAACAGATCCAAAAGCCACGCCCCAACTCTGCTGTTGACTCCCTCCACACCGAGTCCCCATCTCGGCCAACCGAACCCTTGCGCCACGGCAGGCGGAGTAGCGAGAGGGAATGACGCAGCAGAAAAGAAAGTGATAGACAACGTCTTCTCAGGCTGGGCATTGGCAGGAGGGTACATCAAAATCTCCGTTGATAGTGCAAACTTCTCTGGGATAGACAAAAAGGAGGGTATAGCATACCTCAAGACGAAGTGAGATAGACATACTTGAGATGACGACTATTGCTCACCAATCATGCGTACGGACGTGGGTATCCTTACATTCCCAAGTAAAGCCATCCTTGGCGCTATCTGGCCAGTTAGTAGGATGAATCCCCAACCCTTCAAGACCACCTTCCCACCCGTCTCCATTCCCCCCAAACCGGCTAATCAGCACCACCTTTCCCCTCACCTCTCCAAGGGTCGGCACCCGGTTCTTCAAAAACCACATATCTCTCCCTCCAGGACCACTCCACATTTCCTTGTGCACAGTCCGCGAGAACGTGCTGGGCTTGGTAGTGGCAAAGTCCTCTTGCTTCATGGACATGACGATGGTTTCTCGGCAGGTTTCTGGGGCGGTTAGGAAATTATGGATGGTGCGTTGGATGTCTTCGAAGGGCGTTCGTTGGGGGTAGATGCCGTGGTAGGCTATAAGACGGGAGTTGATGACGGCGAGGCGGATGTCGAGGACCCTGATACCGGATTGGAGCTGGACGGCGAGGGGGGTAGAAGGGGATTGGCATTGGGATATAGGCCATCCATAGAAAGCCATGCTGATGGGAATGAGTCGAGGATGGTAGGTTCAGGAAAGGACAGTCCTACCTATCATGCGTGCCTGAAAAATCATTAGTATTGGGCATCACAGCTGGTATCATTCTATCAAAACTTACCAGGCAGTAGTAAGGAATACAGTGGAGACGCGTCAGGCATATCCGAGAGGAATGCAGAGACGTTTCTCTTCGGTAGGATTATCAATTTGCGATGATTTATGCTGATCTTGCATCTTGGGGGTCACTTGTATACCTCCCTGATAGAATTACTGGAGTACTCACCTTGACTGCATAAACGGACCAAGGATGGTCGTCCTCTACCTCTAAACGCTGCCAAGTAGCTCCGGTTCTCATAGAGAACCGAATCATAGCTGGGCACCATCCCTCTGTGTCCTTCATAGCTGCCTGACCGAAGAGCGCTAATTTCCTACAACGGCTGGGCACCTTTGCCTCCAGTGGGATCCGAGAAGCCAATACCAGGTGTTCATCACAATCCTTGCGCTTGTCGTCCCAAGAACAGATCATAGGATCATCGGTCAAGTTCAAGACAGTGAGCTGCATAATGAAATCCGTAGAACCAGTTGGGGAGAAGGGAGGGAGGGATATAAAGCAAGAAATAGGGTGGTACCAGTCTCAAATATGCTCCAACAGCTGTCCCAGCGCTAATAGCGGCATCGTGGAAGCGGCGAGGTTACCAATCGGAGTTAGCCAGATATAGTTACTCAAATAAACACGCCAAAATAACGCGTCTCTCCTTGTGACGTCGTACTGCACATATCATATCGTAAGCTATGCTACCTGTACGTCTTGACCGTCAGACAGCGACCACCGTCCTTACCTATCAAGGTGCCAGGTGTTGAAGGCATCTGTCCATGATGTTCGGTACTTTGCTGCACTTTTACGTGGCGTCAATTTTGTCAACGTGAGCGGCGACACACGAGCGATACATATGGAGTATCCTCAGCTTGTGCTTTAGAGGGCTACGATTACTGTCACCAAGAGAGGATTTATCGCAGTGGTAGAAGAAGCACGGACTCTGTTGGGTTTGTAGCATCTCCCTCTCTTGCTTCAGGGCTAACACGAAGCATTAGGAACCGCATATATCTTTTCCGACGTCTTTGACGAATACGAATATAATTCCGAATCTCCAAGCAATACACAGGATAGCGCAGACGACGAAGATGGTGCCAATGCCGCCTTTGAAGTACCATTGAACACCCTTATCGAGTGTCTAAACATATTCGGAACCGCGGGCGGGTCCAACTACAACACCCCCGGAGGCGGCCGACATACTAGATGGAAAAAGGTTGGCGACAACGACGATGGTGATGAGCGCGACGACGATGACGATGGGGGACGGGGCAGGATACAACAATTCTTTGGCGGTAGCTCTGAAAAGAGGACGGGGATGCGAATGTCGTATGCTGGTGCTGGATACCCCTTGACTCTGCTTCTGTGCGTGTATGCTATGCTATCTCCCCTCTGTGTCTCAAGTACGTCCCCCGCCAGTGCTGAAGACTCGACCGGTCCGACAACGACGTGCGAGATATCTACATACGATGCCGAACCTCACCTCGAACTTCCATTTGATCTGGAAAAAATGTACGTTACGTGAGACAAAGTACTCCGTGGACGTCATCACTGACCTTGAAACCAGGGTTCTCAAAATCATTCTCAAAGTGAGCAGTCCTCCATTTCGTTCTTTGTGTATCTTTTCATTTCTACTAGTCAGAATGGCTACGCGACGCACTCTCAGAATTGGATCCCTCATGCGAGAAACTAACGTTTATTGGAAATCCTCCCCCCAGGGAAGATCCCCAAAGACAGAAGGCCAAGTCACGGGTAGGATTGAAGCCAATGCTTCGCATCCAGGCTACAGGAACATTCGGTAGCACCGAGGTGCGTGTGCGTAATCCTCTAGATTTCTCTTGCATGACAACAGAAAACTTAGATGGACTACCCGAACGACAGAGACGTCCTAGAGACTTTTGATTGCGCTCAAACCATCAGCTTCAGGTTCAACGCTCTGCACACCTCCATGCGTTTTCTGACATCAAAATTTTAGTTATCGGTTCGCTCACATCTCTCGGGCGCTGAGAGCTCTACAGAGCTCTACAAAGACGTCGCTACGTATTGACGATGAGGGCCTGCTGAGTCTTCAGTTCCTTATGCCATCTCCTTCACCCAAACTAGGGAAAAGGGATGAGGGCCCAGCGGCTTTCATAGAATTTCGTGTGAGTCTGCAGATAGCTTTCTCGCCCTTAGCTCAATTGTCACGTTAGTGTTTAGCATTGGACGATGACTAGTTCATGTTGTATACTTGTACTGCATTCTTATGAATACGACGCTATACTTGTCGGGTGGGACGCCGTGCGGTGGAGATGCTTCACAGCCCTTTCTAGGCTTCAGGCTCAAGTATTCACCAAAAGTCGTGTGGATGTTGTCGTATTCTTGAGATTATTTTCACCTTTTTGTTTCCACTTTCTTATTCGCAGACTCATTTCTTCAACCTGTTAGCACAATCTCTGATATCTTTGCTTTGACGTCTGACCTCGGCTCTTGATTTCATCTAGACTCTAAGTTTCAAGTTTTCAGCTCTCATTTCGCTTTCGATTTGTCCCTGCCTCCCCTCGCATCCGAACCCATTCCCCCTTTGGCTGAGACACATAGGGAAGTGCATAGAACGTCTCTCCACCCTCGTCCATACCCTCACTGTCCTCAATGTCTCCACATAAATCGCCAAACTCGGTACGAGCGCACTCTACCGCCCCAATATCTCTCCCTCGCACTGCGCAGACCAGTCGCGCCGACACTCGCCGAAGTTGAGATGGAAGACGAGTATTACCTCACCCTATGCACCGGCTCACCCTACGCAGAAAACGTCGCCCTCTCTCACAGGGCTGAACCAGCATCTTCGGGTCAGTTCTCTTGTGTTTTCCTGAGCATACCTTCAGGGTATGTCTCTTAGGTCTTTGTGTTGAAGTTGGAATTACTTAGTAGGAATATGAAGAGTCTTTCTGGTGTCTTCGTGGTTGAACACCTCGATGTACTTACGACGACAAAGTGGTTGCGCTACTAGATATTGACATCGTTGGTCATCGACGGGGCTTGTTCCATCGTGATTCTGGTCCACACTTACGAAGTGCGTCCTCTTGTGCTCTTGACCAATCCCGTGCTAAATTCAACACGGTTGTAGTGTCTGGTTAACGACGCTGGTTCGTCCCCTTCACTTTCACACACTCAGGACTCCGTCAATATGGGATTCGCAAGAGACGCGGCAATCCATCCTGATATAAAATTTAGGTCGGTAGCAAAAGGCTTCTCTAAAATCCTTCTTTTTTCGCTACGAACACAGCGCTTCAGCAGTGAAAATCAAATATTATGCGTCATGGTTGCGTGTCATCAATAACCGGCAGTGACGATGCACATTTAGTCTTGTTCCGGTCCTGATGCCGAAGATGTGGGAAAGGCAAAGCAAGCTGTTTTTGATGTCTACAGCATCTCTTTCCACAACCACTACCATCTCTTCAGGATACACGAACGACGTGTCGATGTCGAAGATCTTTACCTTGGTCTTGAAGGCGGCAAAAAAGCCAATTCCCTTTGTCAAAAAGAAGGGCGTTGAGACTATTACAGTGCCTCTGGAATATCTAAAGGTACATGGTCACTAGGGTTCAGCAGGTAAAATTTGTTGCTAATGATTATCTAGGCAGCTTCTGGGTTAATCCCGGTGCCTGCCCTTGGACCAGCAACGGATATTGTCCTGTCCATCTTGAAAAAGGTGGATCAGAGCCAGCAGAATACGGGGACCGCCCGTGAAATCGTAAATCTGTGCTTGAAGGCTCATGTCACTCTATCCGAGCATCTGCAGAGCGTAGAAATCACGCCTGCCTTATTGGACAGTATTGGACAGTTTGAAGCGTGCGTCCTTCTCTACCTTACTTAGTCATTACTTTTATCTGGGTGTGCTGGTAGGGATTTGCATGATGTCCAAAACACTGTCGAAGAGTATGAACAGAAGATGTCGATTGAACGAACGCTCTATTCTAAATCATACAACGATGAGTTGCAACGCATCGAAAAACGGGTCAACAGTACTCTGTCGCTTTTCCAAGTAAGCAGTACAGCACTCTCCTGATTCGAATGTCCTTTTACCGATTGCTTTAGATCAAGAAGTTACTTTCGCTTGAAGAAACCTGCGCAAAGATTTATGCATACCTACAGCACATTGAACAGAATGCTGGAGAGAATAGCACATCCCTACAGCGTATCGAACAGAATACTGTGGTGCTTATGAATCGCTCTGAACCTGCTCCGAAGCCCGAAGAACCACTGGTAGATGTAAGCTTTCCCGACGAAAACTGAAAGGGGTGTTCATGAAACCTGTAGATCGTGCGGAGAAGCCAACTCACTCTCTGCGAAGAGATCACTCGTGGTTCAGGGTATAACCTTCAAAGAGCAGAAATGCATGGAAAGATCGTTACAATCAAAGTGTTCACAGGCTGTAAAGCGAAATCGGTACGAAACCTGTGTCCTCATTCTAGGCTGTTGATGCTAAGTCATTGCTAGACGTGGGAAGCGTCAAATACGTTGGACTTGAAAGTTATGTACGTGGCATTAAGTTTCTGCACGTTTTGGTTACGTAGCTGTTCTGTAGGCATCCCAATCTACCTCACCTTATCGGAGCTTCAAGTTCTGATGAGCGGGGGGCGCCGTTCTCGGTGTATGATCTCGGTACAATTACTTCCTACTTGCAGTGAATTCCCAATTTACAGAATATACAGATATTAAGTACGGTTTTGACGATGTCATCCCGTCATGGTCGACGATTGATTCCGATATCATTCTCTATTCTTTGCTCGACAAGATGGTGTGTATAAACGAGACCTGTGATCAGCTGTTCCACGTTCTTAAGACTGAGTCAACGGGTTAACGATGTAGACGTAGGTGACAGTTGTTCGTATCGTTTTTATGTACTCATTTTCACCCAGAGCGGATGGACTCATTTGTGCGAACAAACAAGTTTGTTCGCTCCGTTTGACGAAGTAGTAAGCACGACAGTATCCTTGTTGATACTCATAACTGAATGCCATGATACAGGACTGTGATCTTCTTTATGATGCCCGCGGACGATTCATCCTCTCACTCCCTGGACCGGAAGCGGCCAGCTCCTCAACTGCCTTGGTCTCCCCTGCGGACTATGCCATATTTGAGTTTGTGATGGGTGACAACCGCCATAACGCTGAGGTTGGTACTCCTGTTTGCTTGGCTTGAACTGCTTGTTGACAGCGCGAATGCAGGTCATTAGAGTAAATCACGTCGGTTTTTGTCTATTATCCACTGACCAACCACTTACTTAGACGGCAAGCGCGACGTTGAAGACACAATATCCACCAAGTTATTATTTCATATGGAGCTGTGATCAAACCTCGGCGGGAGCTTGTTTGGCAGACAACCAGTGATTATGTCACGGACATACGTAAGATCTCACAGAAATATGGCATTCCTACCGACCTACCTTGGAATACAGTGATCCAGGACTTGTTTTCGGATGTAGGTCGAAAGCCCCGGCCTAGGCTTTTGGTAGTAGAATACTTAGAACATATATGGTCACTTTCAATGCTGGACATTCTTGCTGATGACGCGCATGTACTGTGTAAACCTCAAGTGTTATGTTCAGGACTGGGTACCGAGGCACAGCGCTGAGCATCCATTAGCCTTGATGGGAATTTTGGGTTGCGCGTCTGCTGAGCAATTCTAGAGCGACGACGAAAGGCACTTGTACAACTGTGGTATCATGTCAAGTTCGCAGCTTCAATCTTCTTCAGCCTTCCCCCCCTACACACACATTAGCGTCCAACGTCGCATCCACAAGAGGAACTTCGTTCTCTTATACTCGTACATATAGCCCGGGTTGCGCGCATATTATATTTCTCATGTCAAAGACATATATGTGGAGCAGTTCAGTAACTCAAGTTAAATTGCACAACGCAAAGCTTACAAGCAATCATACCGCCTCCCCATGGCCAACATCCTCGTCTTGTACCAGCTCAGCCATATCGGATACCACATTATCTTCTGTTGTACAATCTCAGCGGGCGGCAGCCAAGGGTGAACCGACATGTATACCTCCCATCCGAGTCCAAGGCGCTGATGAAGACGACATGGGGGATGAATTGGATGAAGGGCATTTCTTAAGGCCCTTATCGAAGCGTTCGAATGTAGATGACATAGAGCCTGTTCTCGTCAACATTCTCCAGCGAAAATTATCATACAGGTTGAACCAGCTCCGAGTCGAATTCAAGTTACTGCCTTTGTCAAACTCTCTTGCACACACTCTTTCCTCCGACCCAACTTCCAGTTTGTTATACAACCCGACCCCAGAACTTGTCCCAACCGCTGCGGTTGATTGGTTGATGAGTTATGCAGTGGCTTCATATATCTGTTGAGATAAAGTAATTTCTCGTTTCTTTGCTGGGGACTCCAAGAGTCATAACTGAAAAGGGTGTTATCGCATGTTGACTCGCATTCGAGTATGGTACTATCTGTACACTTGTACTGCAAAGTCAGACCGGGACCCTTAAGCATTGTATGTCCTGTAGTACCTGGCCAGTGGGAATAGTCTCGCAAACCAGACTCAACGGTCCGTATGAATACGTGAGTCGTTCAGTGGATGTATAAATCGTCGTTCAGCTTCTAGATATATTGCCCTACGGCTTCCAAAGTGACGAAGCGGGACCTCCAACTCCCGCTGTGAGGTACACCGCGCTCCCGTTCTGCGCCATGTAAAAGCAATCTTCGAGGCGCACGCCGACCTTGCCCTCGATATACACCCCAGGCTCGTCGGAGAAAGTATGACCTGTCTGAAGAACAACCTCGCTCCCGCCATTCAAGTACGGATCCTCATGGACCTCCAAGCCAATTCCATGTCCAAGGCAGTGCGTAAAGTACTCTGTATTGTTGAGAGCAGGTTATTTAGCGCAGCGGTACGTGCCAGAACTGGGGATGAAGGTCAAGAGCTGAAAAGCCTTGACCTTCGATCTCCCCCGTAATACGGTACAATTACATAATGTACGTGACGAGTAGTAGGCTGGGAAGGCGTCTCTCAACATGCATACCCCGTGAGACCAAGGAAGAGTCTCGTCGCCTCGTCGACGCGCTTGGCGACTACACCTGCATGGGCAGTCCCAAACGCGATATTCTGCGCTGAGTGCACAAAGTTCCATATTTGGAGATGGATATCAGGGATGGTGGAGGCGGGGAGAGCGAGTGTGCGTGTGACGTCGCTCCAGTAGCCGTGTAAAGAGTCGAATAAGGCAAAGTCTTGTGGGCGGAGACGGCGATCTGTGCCGCTTCCGTGGGGGAGGGCGACGTTTTCTGAGCGGGGTGAGATGGATTAAGTCAGGAAAGGATGGGCGCGTACCTCCGAATAAGGTAAGGCATCCACCTTCTTTTAATCCGGCGTCGGCGAGGGCGCGTGCGATGAGGTTTCGGGCGTCGGACTCGCGCATGCCAATGTGCATTTGTTTGTGTGTTTGTCGGATAGCTAGAAGGATCGCCTGTGTAGGTCTGTGAGTATCTCCAGTTACATGTAATGAAAACACGCACACCTCGTTGGCACACTTGAGCAACTCTAGCTCTCTCTTCGACTTGCGTTCTCGCAACTGCCTGATCTCTGGGGGAGCAGCAATCACCATAGCTTTTGGGAACGCCGTTCGCAGGCCATCGACGATGAATTCTCCCGTGCACAAACACCGTTCCTTCGATATCAGGTAGTTGTTCGTATGAAACCTCGTCCTCTATCCATCCCACCCACTTCACATCATACGGTATAAGGAGCCACCTTGCGCGTGCGCCTTCGAACTTTAGCGTAAGACCGTCATCTAAGCAGAGGCATCCACGATAAGCAGCAGAGGTCTCTCAGAGAGGTGCCAGTGCGAAGTCGAGACATTGGCGTAGTACAGAGCGCGTGCACCGGGCTCAGTGATGTATGCAGAGGCGTTGAGGGCAGTGAGAGTCTCGCCGAGGATAGAGAGGCGGGTGTAGAACTCGGAAGCAGGGAGTAATGAGAAGACGACTTGCTTGCCACTTCAAGCTTCACTAGTCACTCCCAGTGAAAATTCCGTCGAGCCGGTTTGAGCCAAATCAAGCTGCAAAGATTATCATGTAGCGTAGTCGAGCCGGATCAAGCGGCGTCGTACAAGAAAGCTTCGGACTATAAACCTTCTCCTCTTTCCATCAGCATATCCAAGAATACCAGGGCAGAATCTCTCTGAACCTAACGGTTAACTAAAATGCGCCGAATTTTGCGAGCGCAAATTGGCACAACTTCAAGTCAACGGTTCCGACCACGTGGATGTCATCCAGTGACGCGATTAACGCTTCTTCCCCTTCTACCACCATCCACGTCGCGTTCTGGCCTATTCGCTGTCCTCATTGTCGCCCTACACCCAGATCCTGTATTATCGCAGGACATGGGTTCGTACTTGCTCTCGTAGCCTCCTACTGTTGGTCTCTTACCGACAAGCTGATGCGAAGACTTGCAAACATGAGGCTACAGATTGAAAATGCCGCATAAAGTGGATATATGCGCCATGTTTGGACACCTTTAGCAGCAATACGTCTTTGGAAATCCCGTTTGAGCAGAAAGATATCTGGATCTCTGAGGTACGTCTCATTGCGCTCTTGAATGTTTTTCTCTTGACACTTAGAATGTGTACAGTTGCTCCATATGCCGTCTAGGCATAGCTTCGGGTGTGGTGATGGTACGTTCTGTTCTATATGTGTGTATTCCTGGACTCACTAATCTAATCTTATACAGGTCGTGTTTGCCATCGTTCCCGCTGGCTTTTATTTCGTGAGTAGTCCTGGAATCGTCTTTACCGTCATTGTGTACTGATATAACATTTTCTAGGGCTATCTATTTCGGTACATCTATCTTGACGTCGGGAAACACGGTTGAGGTATCCGAGCGGGACAGAGCCAGCCGTGGACGGAATGGGAAGGATGCTACTACTTAGCGTAGTACGTACTAGTAGCAATCTGATTCTATGCATATTAATAGCAATAAAATCGAGCCAAAAAGCCTAATGGAACCCTATGACACCGACATACTGAGCTCGAAATGGCTCGATTTGAGCTGGAAAATGGTTCACATTTCGAAGCCACAACGAGCGGAATGGAGCCCCATCGACCATTTCTCTGGGCTTGATTTGGCTCAGTGTGGCTCGACCGACTTTTCACTGGGAGTCACTAGTCAGTGGGTAGACGCGATGGGTAAGGGTAAGCTATCATGCTGTCACCAACGCAAGGCAGAGAAGGTACCATCCCCTTCGTTTAGCCTGGGGCGGCGACGACGCTTTCAGATCCCGTAGAACAAAGTCAAGTACCGGCCCGAAAAACCTGTCGGGATATGCCGCAGATACCGGACCGAAGTATCTCTCCTCTTCTTTGTTCACCATGGCTTCGCTGGCAACCCCGCTCCCCAGACTCAGAGCAACCAGAATCATCTATTTCTACTTCAGAAAAAGTCGCGAGATACCCAAATCCCAGCTGTCCAACCCTATCGGTGGCGACGGCGTCCACCAACGGCGACTGGCACGTCATACTATTACTCGCTCTCTCTCAGTATCGCGTCGACAGGACAGCGTTTAAAGCTAGCGGAGTTGTCGGATACATTCAAGTGTTCAAAGTTTGCGAAAGTGACACTCTTTCCGTCTCTTGTGGAATGAATTTACTAATACAGTTTAATCCTCTGGCCGAATTCCGTACAGTTCTTAGCAAATTTATTTAGGCAGAATACCCCCAGTACAAGTTACAACACAACCATACATCAAATGGCTAACACACCGACATCGTTCGCAACATCTGGGAAGTGTCAGATGAGCTCGACTTGAATGTTATGTATGTGCGAACCGTCTAGATTCTGCATGCTATGGCTGATATCTATTCCATAGACATCCCGCCTTATCGGAACTCATAGTTCTGACGACCAGACTCTGTGAATACATAGATATCGAGGACAGCGTTAAAGGTGCTATCTCGTCGTGGATGAACCAGGATGTTGACGAAATCACGTATATGCGTATATCAAGACCCGTAATCTGTTCCACGCTCTTACGATTGAATCAACAGATTCATGGTATATTATCCGCCTGCATTGGTTTTCTGTACTCATTTTTGCAACCAGAACGCACTGAATACTTCGTCGGAACAAGCTAAGTCAATCAAATGTCCAGCCTACGGTGCCCAACTGGCGTCCCAACGATAGGAGGACACAATCGTAGGACGGAATCGTCTTCATGCCAGCTTCCTCAAATATTAAGTAGTATTATTACTTTCCTTTTTATTCGACAAGTGCTCGCGCCTATCTTCAAGTCAGTTCTCTTTCTCGTCTTCCTGAGTATAGTTGGAGTTAACAACTGAAATTTTAGGGAAGCTTCCCGAAGGTCGCGAGGGTGTACTTCGCAGGAGACATGGCAATACATCCTAATGTAAACTTTAGGTCGGTAGTAGAATGTTTCAGCGCTTCAAGAGTGAAAATTGAATGTTATGCGTCATAATTGCGTGTGATCAATAACCGGCAGTGACGATGCATATTTAAACTTGTTCCGGTCCTTCTGCCGGAGATGTGGGAAAGGCAAAGCAAGCTGTTTTCGATATCCAACAGCATCTCTTTCCACTACCACCACCATCTCTTCAGGATACATGAACGGCGAGCCGATGTCAAAGATCTTTACCTTGGTCAAGAAGACGGCGAAAAAGCCTATTCCCTTTGTCAAGAAGAAGGGCGTTGAGACTATTACAGTGCCTCTGGAATGTCTAAAGGTACGTGGTCACTAGCGTTCAGTAGGTAGCTATTGTTACTGACGGTGATCTAGGCGGCTTCTGGGTTAATCCCAGTACCGGCCCTTGGACCAGCGACGGATATTGTCCTGTCCATTTTGAAAAAGGTGGATCAGAGCCAGCAGAATACGGTGACGGCCCGCGAAATTGCAAATCTGTGCTTGAAGGCTCATGTCACGTTATCTGAACATCTGCAAAGCGTAGAAATCACGCCTACATTATTGGAAAGTATTCAACAATTTGAAGCGTATGTCGTTCTCTGCCTTACTTAGTCATTGCTTTTATCTGGGTGTGCTGATAGGGATTTGCATGACGTCGAAAACACTGTCGAATATTACGAACAGAAGATGTCAATTGATCAAATCTTCTATTCTAAATCATACAGCGATGAATTGCAACGCCTCGAAAAACGAGTTAACAGTACTTTGTCGCTTTTCCAAGTAAGCAATACAGCACTCCTCTGACTTACTCCTTTTACTGTTGTTTCAGATCAAGAAGTTACTTTCGCTTGAAGAAACCTGCGCAAAGATTTACGCATCCATGCAGCGCAACGAACAGAATACTGTCGCGATTTATGCATACTTGCAGCGCATTGAACAGAATACTGCAGCAATTTATACATACTTGCAGCGCATCGAACATAATACTGTGGTGCTCATGAATCGCTCCGAACCTGCTTCGAAGCCTGAAGAACCACTGGTAGATGTAAGTTAAGCCTTCCTGACAAAAACCGAAACAGGTGCTCATGAAACCTGTAGATCGTACGGAGAAGTGATCTCACTCTCTGCGAAGAGATCATTCGTCATCCAGGGTATAGCCTTCAAAGAGCAGAAATGCATGGAAAGATTGTCACCATCAGAGTGTTCACAGGCTGTAAAGCGAAATCGGTACGAAACCCATGTTCTCATTCTAGGCTGTTGGTGCTAAGCCATTGTTAGACCTGGGAAGCGTCAAATATGTTCGACTTGAAAGTTATGTACGTGGCATTAAGGTTCTTCACGTTTTGGTTACATAGCTGTTCTGTAGGCATCCCAACCTACCTCACCTTATTGGAGCTTCAAGTTCTGATGAGCGGGTGGCCCTGTTCTCGGTGTATGATCTCGGTGATATAAATACCTTCTGCTTGGAGTGAATGATTAATTTACAGAATGTACAGATATCAAGCACGATATTTTCAATGTCATCCCGTCATGGTCGGTGATGGATTTCGATATTCTCGGTCCTTTGCTCGACAAAGTGGTGCGTATAGAAGATACCTGTGATCAGCTGCTCCACGTTTTTACGACTGAATTAACAGGATCACGATGTAACAGTAGGTGACAGCTGTCTGCATCGTTTTTATGTACTCATTTTCAATCAGAGCGCATGGAATCATTTGTGTGAACAAACTTGTTGGTTCGCTCTGTCTAACGAACATGCAGCAAGCACAACAATATCCTTATTGATACTCATAACTGAATGCCATGATACAGGACTATTATATTTTTTGTGATGCCCATGGCCGATTCGTCCTTTCATTCTCTCCGGCAGCGGCCAGCTCCTTAACTGCCTTAGTTTCTCCTGCGATATTCGATTTTGTGATGGGCGACACCCGCCATAATGTTGAGGTCGGTACTCGTGTTTGCTTGGCTTGAACTGCTTGTTGACAGCGCAAATGCAGGTTGTTAGAGTAAATCATATCGGTTTTTGTCTATGCTTGAATTTGTCCACTGACCAACCACTTAGGCAATAGGCGCGTACCTGAACACACGACATGCACCAGAATCTTATTGGATAACACTCAAGTGGTAATAGTGTGATGATTGAACCTGCGGGAGCTTGTTTGGCAAACAACCAGTGCTTATGACGCGGACGCACGTAGAATCTCACAGAAATATAGCATTCATACCGACTTACCTTGGAATGTAGTGATTCAAGACTTGTTTTCGGATCGTAAACCAAGCTTTTAGTAGTAGACTACTTTGTATATGGCAACTTTCAATATTAGACATCCTTGCTGATGACGCGTATATGTAAACCTCAAGTGTTATGTTCAGTACTGGGTACTGAACTCCAATCTTTCTTGCTGAACTCACGAGGGAACACGTAGGATATGGAGACGTTCCGTACAATGCTTGGGGGAGAAACGGTAACCCTAAGAATCTACTGAAGCCACGGTGATCACAGGACAGATTCAGCAGTGTTTTTCTATTTCAGAGGATGCCCTACGCTAGGACCACGAAACCAAAGATTACACTAGAGCACAATCCCATCATATTCATACAAAATCATACGTCTATCTGTCGAGTACAACGTGATCACACAGCTTGTGCTTCAAACATTGCACTACAACAAAGAGAACTATCAGCCACTGCACCGCACCAAGAACACAGAAGCACTCACCCTGAAGGACAAAAACGAGATTTCACGTTCCCAACTCTGTCGTACCAAACCTCCTACCACCCGCCCCGCCCGTCGTATCCTGTATGGACGGGGCTCCTAAGAGCCAGCAAAACCGTCAGATATCATCATCATCCGAATAAAACTCATCCTCATCCTCCTCATCCACCGACGCCAAATTCGTAAAATCAACCTTATACCTCAACAACCCCCCAATCCCTTCACGAACTGCTCACCCTCCTGCGAGCGATTCGTCACAAACTCGAGGTTTGCGCCAAACTCTTTGTACTTGTCGGCGAACCACTCGAGGAGCATTTGGGGTTCTTCGGATTGTTCTATTTCGAGGCCGGTGGATTTGTTGAGGAATTTGGAGCGGTCCTTGTCTTGCTCTTTGTTGTGGTAGATAGTGTCCTCTGTTGGGGGAAGGGGGGTTAGTGGAGAGGAATAAAGTGGGTAGGTGGTAGGTTGCGAACCTCCAGCGGCGTTACGAAGGATGTAACGCGCAATATCTAGATTCTCCCATACGATCAGAGTCTCGACGGCTCCAAGTTCGAGAGCCTTGAACTTATCTTCGATACCAAAGCAGTACTTGCCCGTATCTTGACTAATTTCGTCAAAGTACTTTTGAATAAGCCGTTTCTCCTGAACAAATTTGACGTTTGCAAGAGACTCTGCAGCAAGTTCTATGGTCTAAAGAACACAATCAGATCCGTAATTCTCCCCACCAAACAACCAATCTCACTTGGTTAGATCCATTCTCCTCACCATAACTAACATCCACAACTTTAATAATCTTAGCCGCCAACTTCAAATCGAACATATCACTCTGATTCAGCTCCGTCTGGAAATCCGTGCTTCCCGCTAACCCGGGGCCCATGACGTTGACTTTATCGTTGGTGATGAAATGCTGCGCCGCCAGTTCCGCACGTAGTTGTGCTTCTTCTCACCACGAAGACGAGAGAAACGCAGTGCGGACTGACCTCCTCAACCGTGCTTCTTGGGGAGGTCGACGGTGAATTTATGGATGACCTTGCGAGTGTTTCTAGCGAGCGTCTCGAAAAGGGTACCGTTTCCATCCATGTCGATGAATCCAACCCGAGAATTGGACTCGAGAAGTTCCAAGAGGGCTTCGGTGTGGAATTTATTGTTGCAGAAATAGAAGGACCGGGATAGAGGTCGAGTGATCAGGATGCTTTTTTCATTTTATTGGGGGAGGTACGTGTTGACAGGCTTGTGATATCCAAAATCGAACGAGACGTTCTTTTCCTTGCCTTCGCCTGTTAGAATCGTGCCGATGAAGAGCACGAGACCGTTGGGAGGGTCTCGGTTGTAAAGCTTGAGACGCTGTTGGGTACTGGTGATGGCTGCGAGGACGGAGAGGCTATTGACTCGAGATTTGATGTTGGACGCTATGCCGTATTCTTGCGTTAACATGGCAGACGCTCAGGATATTTGATCCTGCAGGGTTGCTTAATACCCGCACCATGGTTGCGCAGACGAGAGAACAGACCTTTGAGGGAAAGATTAGGCTGATTGTGGATGTCCCTGCTCTGAAGAGTAGCTCAGTATCGTAAGAACAGGCAAGCAGGAAGGAAGGACGTACCCTCTATAGTCTGGCGTTGGCGAGGGCGCGTACGATGAGGTTATGGGCGTCGGACTCGCGCATGCTGATGTGAATTTGTTTGTGTGTTTGTCGAATAGCTAGAAGGGTGGCCTTTGGGTGTATTTAGTATCTCCAATACATGGGAGAAAAGCATGCACGCTTCGTTGGCACACTTGAGCAACTCCAGCTCTCCCTCCGACTTGCAGTATTCTCGCAGCTGCCTGATCTCTGTGGGAGCAGCGCTTACTATACCTTTGGAAACGCCGTTCGTAGGCCATCGACGATGAAATGACGAATATTCCCATCTACAAATACCGTCCCTTCGATATCAGATAGTTGTCCATATGGAACCTCATCCTCTGCCCATTCCACCCACTTCACATTAGATGGGATAGGGAGTAATCTTGCACGCGTGCCTTCGAACTTGGGCGTAAGTACCGTCACCCGCGCAGAAGCATCCACGATAAGCAGCAGAGATCTCTCGGAGAGGTGCCAGTGCGAAGTCGAGACATTGGCGTAGTATAGTGCACTTGCACCAGGCTCAGCGATGTATGCAGAGGCGTTGAGAGTAGTGAGAGTCTCGCCTAGGGTAGACAGGCGGGTGTGGAACTCGGAAGCGGGGAGCGGACCGAGGTGCGAGCAGTGCGACAACGTTTTGCTGACCACTATAGGTAGACGCGATGGGGAAGGATAAGCTAATCAAGCATGCTGCCACCAACGCAAGACAGAGAAGGTACCACCTCTTCCGTGTAGCCTGGGACGCTTCGATCTTGCTTTGGAACGAAAGTCAAGTACCGGCCCGAACAACCGAGAGGCTCAGTCTTTGGGTCGAACCCTCCCAATTTGTCAACTCCTCTTCTTGATCTGCCACCATGACTTCGCCAACCCCGCCTCCCCCAGACCCAGACAAACCCGAGACCTCCACGTCTACTCCAGAAAAACTGTCTGAACCATCAAAGCCCGAAGAATCGTCGGCGGAACCAACTCTAGCGGCGGCACTTACCAACGGCGACTGGCAGGCTATCTTTTCGCAGCACAACGCGTACTACATTTACAACACCGTCACCGCGCAGACGGTGTTAGGCCAAGGCCGGCCCTGGTGTTATCCGGATATAGTTACTCTAATAAACACGCCAAAATAACGCGTCTCTTCTTGTGACATCGTCCTGCAAATATCATACCGTAAACTATGCTACCTGTACGTCTCGACCATTAGACAGTGACCACCATCCTTATCCGTCGAAGTGTCAGGTGTTGAAGGCTTCCGTCCACGATGTGCGGTACTCTGCAGCACTTTTATGGCGTCAACTTAGTCAACGTGTGCGGCGACAAAGGAGTGATACATGTGGGGTTTTCTCCGCAGTGGTTGAAGAAGCGCGTACTCTGTTAGGTTTGTGCATCTGAGTATCTCCTCTTCAGGGCTAACACGAAGAGTTAGGAACAGCATATATCTTTTCCGACGTCTTTGCGAATACTACGAGTACAATTCCGAATTGCCAGGCAGCACCCAGGATAGCGCAGACGATGAAGACGCAGATAATAACGCCTTTGAGGGGCCTTTGAACACACCCTTATAGAATGTTTGAACATATTCGGAACCGCGGGCGAAACTAATTACAACACCACTGGAGGCGGCCGACATACAAGGTGGAAAAAGGTCGGCGATAACGACAACGACAACGACGGGAGACGGGGCAGGATACAACAGTTCTTTGGTAGTGGCTCTGAAAAGAGAACGGGGATGCGAATGTCGTACGCTGGTGCTGGATACCCCTTGACTCTGCTCCTGTGCGTGTATGTTGTGCTTTCTCTCCCACTGTACGTCTCAAGTATGTCCTCCGCCAGCGCCGAAGACTCGTCTGGTCGGACAATCGTGTGGAATATCTACACACGATGCAGAACCCCACCTCGAACTTCCATTTGATCTGGAAAAGAGGTACGTGTGATCAGGCTCTCCGTGAATATCATCACTGACTATCAAACCAGGGTTCTCAAAAACATTCTCAAAGTGAGCGGTGCTACATTCGTTCGTTGTGCATCTCTTCATCTTTACTAGTCAGAATGGCTACGGGATGCACTCTCAGAATTGGATCTCTCTTGCGAGAAATTAACGTTTATTGGAAATCCTCTCCCGAGGAAGGATCCCCAAAGACAGAAGGCCAAGTCGCGGGTAGGATTGAAGCCAATGCTTCGCATCCAGGCCACAGGAACATTCGGTAGCACCGAGGTGCGTTGGCCTGATCCTCTAGATTTTTGTTGCATGACAACAGAAAACGTAGATGGACTACCCGAACGACCGAGACGTCCTAGAAACCTTTGATTGCGCTCAAACCATCAGCTTCAGGTTTGCCACTCTGCACATCTCCATGCGTTTTCTAATGTCGAATTTTAGTTATCGGTTCGCTCACATCTCTCGAACGCTGAGAGCACTGCAGAGCTCTACAAAGACGTTGCTACGAATTGACGATGAGGGCCTGCTGAGTCTTCAGTTCCTTATGCCGTCTCCTTCACCCAAACTAGGGAAAAGGGATGAGGGCCCAGCGGCTTTCATAGAATTTCGTGTGAGTCTGCAGATAGCCTTTCTCGTCCTTGGGTCAATTGTCATGTCAATGTTCAGCATTGGACGATGACTAACTTGCCTCGGAGCTGTGTGCTACACATGGGAGACGTTGAGAAGGGGAATGTTCGTCATCCAAGAACTAGTGGCCGGTACAAACCCTATCTATCGCCCAATATTCAGGTTTTTTTGGGTTTTGATTTGGACTTGCCCTTTCCTGTCGGTTACAGAGAAAGGCCAGGCAGCTGGCCGGCTTCGATTTCTTGCAACTGCCTTGAAAGTCAGTGATCCGTAATCCCCACTAGTCCTTTCGCCATCCTTTCTCTCAGATGACTATATCCTGCGACAGGTAACACCATTCGCTCGTTACCGTTGTCCTCCAAACATAATCTCTGTCCTTTCCCCTGTCATGCAGACGCATCAAGAGCCACATCGACTAATAATCATAATCCCTTCCGTCCTTCCTCAAGCTCAGGTCTCATTGTTTCTGGGAGAGACATTTATTCAAATGAATCGGGATCAAAGCGCGGTATCCTACTAAGTAGTGCATTCGGAATTGCAATTCTATGGAATTTGAGCAGTAAAATTGGACCCTAAACTCAAACACCCACAGGGATACTACGGAAAGGATATATAGGCTCACTCTGCTCTGTCTCCTCCCATGATGGTGGTAAGGAGGCCCATGCTTGAATCGAAGCCTGCTCCGACATGTCTTGGCTTGACACCACCGCTGCAATCCTATCCTTCTTGACAATAACCTCAATAATCTGGTATGGTGTAGAACCTTTCAAATCCTGCGCACTGACATCCGCACCGTGTCTGAGCAATAATTTCAAGATGTCATTCGCAACACTTGCCGCCCCCTTCGGATACCGCCTGCGAATATAAAGGGGACCCTTGTCACGAGCTAGAATATGCAGAGGTGTCATTCCTTCCTTGTCGCATGCATTGACGTCCAAACCGGCCGGACATTCAAGCAGTACCTTCACGGTCTGAACGAGATTCCTGAAGAATCGGCTTTGCTCAACCAGAATGTGCAGAGGTGTTTTGCCATTCGCATCTCGGGCATCTGGTTTCGCACCACCATCCAGAAGCGTCTTTAGAGCATCGTTGTCTGGCATCTCGTTCATCATCAGAACATGAAGGCATGTTTCTCCGTTCTTGTTTGGGATGTTCGGATCACCGTGATTGGCAAGGAGGACCTGCAGAATATGCTTATCAACCCACTTACACCTTGACGCGCAATGGAGAGCTGTTTCTCCTTGAACATCACAGATGTTTGGATTTGCACCTTTCTGAAGGAGCAACTGGATAGGTGACTCTGGGTGGAGACGGTCTTGCATGAACCTGTGTCCCACCCCTAGTTGGGCAATATAGTGCAACGCTGTGCGACCATCTTTATCGACAGCGTTGACGTCTGCTTTTGCCTCGAGAAGCAACCGTATGCAGCTGTATCCGTTATCAGCGACTCGAAGACGTTTGAAGAGACGACCGGCGGCGTAATGGAGTGGTGTCCGGCCAAATTTGTCACATTCCGTGAGGCTAAACCCAAAGCTGCTAGTGAGCAGGTGGCCCATAACATTAGAGCAATATAGACCGGCTGCTATGTGCAATGCCGTAGGGCCTCTAATGTCGGCTTTGTCATTGTCACTATTTGGTATAAGCTCGAGATATTCCCCGGTAAACTGCAAGCGACAGTACTCACTGTGACACGCTTGGAATAGGCGAAGTCCTCATAGACAGCATTGCAAGAAAGCTTCGTGTCAAGGTCTCTAATTCACGGTTATCCCCATTGTCCGCATTGTACATGTGTAACAGGCAATTAGGACCCCGAATATATTCAGACAACTCGGGACATGGATCAGGCCCTTCGGCCCTCTTTTCAAGCATCGACAAATGCTTGAAGCATGACTGAAAAACTGTGTGGTGTGCGGAAGGTAGAGAGCGGAATGCGAAAAGGGACAGATGTGGAGCTGAGTTCTTGGTCGAGAGGTTCACCAGAAAATCTTTCACAGATGTGTGAACGAACTGTATGGTGGACATCGTTTTGGAATCCTTGTCCTTCGATTGCGGAGTAGCGGTAAATTCAACGAGATGGGCACAGTCCGAAATTAGATCGTTGCAACTTGTTACCACCATCGATGGGTCCCAATAATCCGACATTTCATCGACCGCTATGGCGTGACGAACCAGCTCAGTGTTCAACGGAGAGCTAGCGCATATCAGCCATTGAAAGATGCCTTGTACACGTTTTTGACGCTTTTTGTCTAGATGGTATATATAGTCAAGAGACCGAATATAGGTCGCAGCTAGACTTCCCGGCAGCTCCTGCAGTGACGTTCGAATGTCGTGGTCGGTGCGCTGTTCGGAAAGGTGTTGAACCTGCAGTCGCACCCAGAGGAACCTACGCAGAAACTACAGTCAGTATCTCTGCAGATAAGGGAGGATTTCCTTAATTACATTCCCTCAGCGTTGTCGGTTAGTGTCTTGATGATTTCCTCCCGGAGGGAGAGGTCTTTAATCTTGATCACTGGTCCGAAGTTTTGGATGTGATGTCTGGCCTGGTCCTGACCAGCAGTGACAATACACTGTTGTATATACTGTTTGATGTCCGGATTTACGTCGCGGTCAGTCACGGTCACCTTTGTTGATCGGAGACTTCCTTGGAAGGCTGGCTCGATGAGTGGAGCGATAGGGCGAGTCGTAACCAATATCAACGCCTTGCGAGACAGTGAAACCAGAACCGGAAGTAGTTGCTGCAAAGCAACATCCGGACACTCATCAAGCGCATCGATGACAATATAACGTTGACCTGGACCTTCCAACACAATGTTGAGCAGAACTGCTAGATCTGAGACTGTCGCAGGAAGGATGTGTTCGTCATACAGAGTCTTCATAGTCTGAGAGTTGGCCGAGAGGAAGGACGTAAGCTGATAAAGTATTGTTCCCAAAATGTTTAAAGGATTGATTTTACTCGGCTGATCACGTTCGCAATAGAAATAGGCAACTGCGATGTTGGTCTCGACGCTCTCCATGGACTTGAGATCGTTTATGATGACAGAACTAACAGCGTGAAATTCAAGTAAGCTTGTGGATTCAACAATATCCCGGAATTCATACTTACGCTAACACTGTTTTGCCTATTCCGACTGCGCACAATAACGGGTGAGTTTGACTCGAGAAACAAGTAATCCAATGAGCGCACGTTTTCCGCTAACCCATAGCAGATGCAATGCGGGGTCAATTGTTCCGGTTGGACACTTCCGCCAGAACTGATAGGACTGGTTGCGTAAGAGCCATTGTCCCGGCGCTGGACGACCAGAACTTAATATGGCTCTGTAACATTCGTGCTTGTCTTGATACTTGATATGGGGCATTGTCTTGAGGAATCTTTTCTTCGTGTGTTCTATAACTGTTCTCGTATCGGAACTACCATGACGGACGACTGGACGCACCCAATTTAGCTATCAACTTTTGCTCGTCCTTCCTCCTGTCCTCTTCTCGATCTTCCTTGATTTTCTCGCGCTCATTATGTTCCCTAACTTGTCTTTCGAAGGATACATTATAATGCAACTTCTTTGTCGCTGCCTTGAAATTTTGAATCACCGTATCTAAGCTCTCAGTGCTCCAGGGGTTCATGGACTGTATAAGCAAGATAAAAGAGGCTGATGATGAAGAGTGCATTAGGAGCCAAGTTCATCCAGAATCGTAAGCTGGAACGTACTTCGTGGTTGTTGCGCCTTATCGTAGAAGTAGTCGTTTACATTCTGGCACACGCTCAAGACCGCTCCATATACATCTGCTAGGGCCTGTGGCCAATTTAGTAGCTGGGACACGGAGTTTTGAGTGCCATACCGTCTGAACATAATACGAGTCCCGGTATAATAGGGTAGCATATTGGTGGTAGGAATGGAGTTCCTGAGAAATATCCTCCAGAACTGAAATAATCTTGTTGACGTAGTCTGAGTGACCGGACATAGCCTAGAGCAATAAGCCATATCATTAACCATGAGAACTTGAAGTGCAACAGGAAGATGGCCAACCTGGATGATGAATCTAATGCATCCCCAAACTACTCCCCCAATTTCCGGGTGCGAGGAAACCCCTTGATCTATGGCGGTAAAAAATTGTCGAAGAGGTTCAATGATTTTCGAGTTCCAGTAATCCACAGATCGATGCAATTTACTGGCGCCTTGATAATTATTCTGTCGTTCTCGAATGAAGTCGACAATTTTCTGTGGATCAGATGCTTGAAACCATGGCGACTCGGGTTTGACACCGAGATTGTCGAGATGTTTCTGTAGAGCGAGTTCGAAGGGTGTATTGCGTATCGGTGGGTGAGGTGTAGGGATTCGCGACTGCCAGGGCAAATCAAGATCAGGTAACATCATGGTTGTAGATGAGGGAATTCACGGTCCACGGAGGCACGACAGATGGCCGAAGTAGCTGTGCATAGGCGCCTACTACATTTGCCGGGAGGGCGCTTAAGAGATTGCGAGCAACAGAGTTTACTACTGGCCTGCAGTTTAATTGCCAGCGACCTAGGCCAAATTTATTATAGGGCGCCCGCCGCCTAGCAGTACTACAAAGACTGGAGACAGATCGAGGAAAGCGTTGAAAGGTACGAAAGCAGCCTCCGGTGCCACCGAAGTGTACGTTTTCCGATCCGATTCACAGTGATCCAGCAACCTTTCCTGTCCGTGTTGTACACAAATCCCTGTAACTACAGGGGAGCCATTTGTGTGCACAGGTCAGGGAATGGTACTATACATCCTTGCTGTGGTGAGTCAGCCATCTTGTGACGCCTCTTGTGACTGCCTGGTGCGTGATTATGTGAGCAGTCGAGCTCGCTGTCGCCTTCGATGTGCTAGGGTCCTTAGGCACTGTGCCCGACAAGCAAAGTGATACTACAATCGAGCCAAAAATAAAATCCAATACAAAAGTAACTATAGGGCTGCCTTTCTTGTCACAGCCGGTGATAGGAACCACGTGCATCATCCCTTGATTACAGTTGCATCATATTCGCCCTCCGTGACCGTTATGTGACACCCAGAAATGGAAATAACCAGATGAACTAGCTTGCGGTGTTGCGACTGCAGCCTATTTACGCATGTAATTTTGCAATCTAAAGTGTTTTACATGCATACTGAGATATAGTGAGCGAGCGGACTAAAACTACATGTTGACACTAATGCTACGCGGTGCAATGATATGGAATATAACTTATGGCATAAGAAGCAACGGGATTCTAAACAGGACTTAGTCACAGCACTGTACCTGATGGGCATGCATGATGAGAAGGCCAAACCCTATACCCAATGCCTTAGGCTCTAACTTACAAGCACACTCGTGGGAGCTAGATAAAACCTTGAAGATTGCACTGACACTGAGAACACTTAGCGCGCTCGCTAACTGTGATGCGCCATACCTGAAAATCCGGGGAAATCCTTAAGCGAGCTGACAGATATCACCGGCACGAGCTTGGGCAATGGGCTTTGGCCGAAGTCCGCGAGCCCGCATTCCATTGTTCTGAGTCCCATTGTTCGAAGACTCACCTGTTGCCATGTCTATGAGAAGCCTCTGTGAATCCAAGAAAGAAGTCCTGAATGACATATGCCAGAACTGATAGTTCCATGCACCTAGACCTGTCGGTCGCTAGAGAACAAGCCCGCGGGTGTCAGGAGAGCACCTCTTGGCACGCGTTTAGCGAGCTCACTATAGAAATGAGACTAAAACTGGGAAGTCCGACTCAGATGCTCAGTAAGGCAGCAGTGGCAACGTGCTATGCATGTAGGAGTCTGGGTACTGCATGACGTTTGTAATTCTAATTCCTCTGTAGTATAAGTAGGCTGGTTACAGTAGGTAGAGGCAAGTTTTGAGCCCCCGAGTTCCCGTGCATGCGTTGAAAGGCGGTACTGTAACAAAGGACCAGTTTGTGACTTTAAGCTGTGTGTAGAATTAGCGAGCTCACTCAGAGAAATACAAGATACCCTTTTGATAAGACTTTTGAGAACTTAGTCAGAGTGAATACGAATCAGTGACGCTGTTTCTGTTCTGTTAAGTGTGATAAGTCTGTTCGGAGAATGTGTTGAAGTGGAAATCTGAGATCTGTTCTGTTCTGTTCTGTTCTGTTTCAGTCTGTTCCGTGTCAGTTCTGTTCGAAGTTCCGTTTCTGAATCTGATTTCTGAGCGCTTCTGAAGTGTTCTTGAGTCGAGATAACCTGCTGGAGTTAGTTGGAGAACCCCTACATACAGTTGTGTAGCGAGCGGGCTAAGTCAGTGCTTGCCTGTGGTGTTCTTTTAGCGAGCTCACTAAAGTTTCGGTGTGTATTGCCTCTGTTTCTGTTGGGATCAGTGTCCCTTGCATATTATAACTCAAATCTGCCTTGAAAGTTGCGTCGCGCCAGTGAACGACCTTCCTGTAAAAAGTTCCTAGACTTAGGAATTCATTAGAGAAAGCTTAGCTTCGCTAAGAGCGCTGAGAATAAGAGAAACTCTTCGAGATATTGAAGTATAGTTGGATTGCATTAGAAATAATCGCTCCCCCTAGAACTTACGAGGGTGATTGTAGTTTGTGTAGTTGTGTGAGTGTGTGTGTGGGTTTTTGAGGTTCGCCTTTTAGCCTGCTCACTATTCCACAGGTGCCCACAGCCAGCCTCATCAGTGGGCGCTAAATCACGTGGAAGTCCAGTGGGGTGGCATCAAAGAGAAATTGTAATAATCACAAGTCCCTACAGAGCTTGGAGTATTTTTTTTCCAGTTTGCAAGGTCAATAATTTTATATTTATGAAAAGAGTGTAGCTAAGAACATGTTATACCACTACTAATTACTAACTAAGAATAAGCTGATAAATATATGTAGGCTGCTATTCTCTCATCAAGCAAATGTCGGTCCCAGGGCAGCAGCACCAGCAGCATGACGTGCCAATTATAGCGGCCAGCCCAGTCAGGCGATAGTCATGCCGCCGCCATCAATAGTCCTAACTCCGCACCTCTTGAGTTGCAATGTGCGAGGTCGAACTCATAGAGTGGTGAGGTAGCATAGTGGCAGCAGTGGCAAGTAATCGATGGAAGATGAAGGCGGCGGCGTGCATCGTCATCGCCAGTGATGGTGGTGCGAGGGTGAGGAAGAGAGGTGGCACCTTGAGCGAGTCGAGCTGGCCTGTGGTCATGTGTTAGTTCATTAAACGGCTTCCTCTTTAGGACTCATGTGATGGCTGTGCAAAGGGCAAATATGCAACAACTCTTGATTACTTTTTCCCATGCTTCTCATCCTCTTTTGCAAAATCTGATCCCATCCTATAGCTCATATAAAAATAACATTGTATTATTTAACATGTAGATATATGGAGTAAAAGAATATATCTAGTCATTCGATATGTAGATAAAATATGGTGCCGGTGGGCAGGACATATCGACGGCGGCGATCGGGAGACATGGCCAAAAAAGGGGATCATTGCACTGCCGTAGTGGCGGGTGTCAGGATAGGGAGTGGGCATACGGTGGCTACCACGTTGATCAGCAGATAGCAACAGGGGCTTCTGTGATCGTGCAACCATGAATTTGGGCACGTCTGTTATGGTCTCAAGTACCCTTTAATGGCCAAAAAGATGTGCTTTCCGTTGTCGTCGCCCGCCATCCGCATCCTGACCTCCCTTGCACCCTCTTGCCCTTCTGCACCTCTCCAATACACTTTCTCCCCCTCCATCCCTTGGCCGCTATTTTTCGTGACTATGCTTCATTCTAAAGGTCTCCTCCCTCATGCCATTGCTGTTTACCTCCCTGGCCGCCACCGCCGTCATTGTCCTGCATATGGTGAGGGAAAGAAGTGGCACAGCCACTCGATCACTCTGCGGTTTCACGGACCGGAGCGATTGAGTGAGTGAGTGGAATGAATACCGGAGATGCATCCTCTGCTCCATTCCTGCATCCCGAAGGCCCGAGAATCATCGGAATGTAATGATATTGTATTATACAGTATAGCTCTATACTTTCCTATATATTAAATAAATCCCAGCCTTGATTAATATGCATTTTATGGTTGAAAAACCACATTTTGGTTCATTTGCTAGCATATACTCATTGTATGCTGTTCTATACATTGTAGAAAAGAATATGGTGGGTTGCATATGCAAGATTATGTAGTATACTACCCAAACAAAGTGTCCGATCCACAGCGATCTTCTCGTAGAAACATCGTTACTCACTTCATTGCTTAGAAGAACTGTTAGAAATTCACCCTCAGTGCACTTTCATCTGACCAAAATAAAATTGTATCACGGCTTCAGGGCAGGCACATTTTCAAATATATACTACTCAGAATAGATGAAATCCATGGTTTTATTGACTCTGTATTCTCATTTGAACATGTACTCGTAGTTCCTGATGATCGGAGACAAAAACAGAGTACAATAAAAAGGAAAAGTCAAAGCACATCTATCAGGTGGCCAATGGGAGTCAAGGCGGCACACAATGGGCATACAACGGCCGAAAGTAAGTCCAAAATATATTTTGCTGAGAATACATCAAATGTAAATACAATTTGACAGGGCCCTATAAATTGTATTTTGACAGCTCCAGTAGTTACCGGGAAAATTGTACTTTCGGTTCCCCTGTAGTTACTGGGATAAATTGTATTAAATGAACAATACAGCCTCAATACAAAAGGGAAAAAATAGAGTGCGAAGCGGGCAATGACGAGCAGGAGGGGCGGAGCGTAGGGCGTAGCAAAGCATGGGAAATCCGAGCGTGACAACTCTAATGTGGCTGTGCATGAGCTGAGCACTTGTGCTACAGGCCATTCCCTGAGCTGTGTACAAATCCTGCTCCCTGTAGTTACAGGGATTTGTGCACAAGCCCGTCCCCTGATGCTACAGGGCATTTGTGCACAAAATGGACGGTATAGCCTCGATCCAGGAATTCAGATGCAAGCAGGGTTGAACTTACCATGAGAAAACTTTAGCTCAATCCTCAAACATGTTACCTACTAACACCCGGCATTGAGCACCAATCAGCTGGGTATGCTGCATATCTCCGTGCATTTTCTGACATCAGTTTTAGTTATCACTTTGTCCACATTCCTCGAACGCTGCAGAGCTCTACAAAGATGTCGCCGCGGATTGACGATGGGGGGGTCTGCTGACTCTGAGCCTTGAGTTCCTTATGCCATCTGCCTCGCCCAAACTAGGAAAAAGGGACGATAGCCCAGCGGCTTTTATAGAGTTTCAGGTGAGTCTGCAGATAGATTTCTTCATCCTTGGCTTAATTGTCATATCAGTGTTTTGTGCTGGATGATGACCGATTTGGGTATACATACTCGCACGATATTCTTTATGAATACGACAAGCCGGCCAAAACTATATTTGTCGGGTGGGGCACCGTGCGAATGTTTCCCCGTCCTATTTAGACCTCAGGTCAGTCATTCACCTAACATTTGTGTGAACGAAGGCTATGTACTGCACATCATGCTGCAGAATGATTTCAATACAAGGTCCAAATCTTATGTTAAGTGTCTATTGCCTACTTGCATCGTCCATGTGGAGCGTGTCTCAAGAGACACAACAATACATCTGATATAAGTCCTACTAGGCCTGTAGCAGTGGGCTTCAGCTAACATCAATACTAGGCATCATAATTCCATCGTCAATTACTCTGGTGCCAGTGCACACACCATTTTGTTCGACTCGGACTGTCTGTTAATAGGGAGACTCTAGATCTTTCATAGCGTTAAACACATCCGTTATGGTAAATGGGTGTCGATACTCGAATCTATCCACTGACCAAGCATTTAGACGATAAATCGGAACGCATCATATCCAATGGAGGATCCATTACACAGGTGTTTGAGGACACATCTTCTGCAGTGTCTCCATGCCAAGCGTTAGATGCAACCTCGGCGAGAGCTTTTTTGGCAGGCAGCGGCTAAGATCTCACAGCAATGCGGCTTATTCGTATACTGTAATACCTACTTTCACCAGCCTGTTCGTCGATTCCATGCTGCCGATGAGCTTACACCGTGCCACCAATGCAATGGATATCAATGAGAGGAGTTAACTCTTACACATGCCATCTTGGATAACAGCATTGCACGCAAAGCCATGTCTTGAGGAAATCTGTGTTGATTGTGGGAAGCGTACTTTGCCCACAACTGGAACCACTCATCACCACGACAACGACATCCCTTTTGTCCAATGTTCAATCTACCGTCGGCACATTTATCTTCGTTACGAAGAAAAAGTTGAAGAGTTATTATTCAAATCTTACTCCACTGATGATAATCTTCTACGGGCACTATGCAAATCTTGTGAAAGATGGAGATACAATCGTGGCGGGATGGTTCGAAATGGAAAGAGACCTGTAAAGCGCCGATAACTGGCCATCAGATAGGTGTCCCCCCACACCCAGGAAGTCGAGCTATACCGTTAGCCCTGGCAATATACTGTTGCTTCTCTGTTACATCCTATTACAGCTGTTCCGGAAAATAATGAGAATCACGTGAGAACAACGTGCGCCCAAATTTGACGTATTTACTACATTTGATAAATAAATATTGGCCCTTCTCCTCAACGTACACCTGTATAACTCGCTCATGTTAGGCCTCTGAGGTCCTTTCTTGAAAATTTACAACAAATACTATAATGATATAACATCTAATCATTGTCTCTGTTCAGATGGGAAGGGATATATCCTGTAGCTTCCGGCAACACAGCGGAGCCACCTCGGCATCTGTCATACTTCCTGTTTACTGATGAGAGGTCCCAGAGTTTGACAGCATATATTCAGGCAATGGCAAGGTCTACAAGAGTGTCTATATGTTCTGATAATTGCCGAAGCAAGCGCGTACCTAAGGGTTATCAGAGTTATCCCGAGACTCAGTCACTCATCCATCGACTAAAACAGGCCAAATTCATTATTGACCACTTTGAAATGGTCGCTGACTTCTGAAAAACAACTTGACAGAGGATGCGAACATCAAGCCAAGGTGTACGTTGAGGAGAAGGGCCAATATTTATTTACCAAATGTAGTAAATACGTCAAATTTGGGCGCACGTTGTTCTCGCGTGATTCTCATTATTTTCCGGAACAGCTGTAAATGAGCGTATTTTTGGTAATATTCTGACCTTCCTCTGTTACTCTGTCTCCCATTTAGAAACGGAACACTTCGCATATTTCAACGAGTTCTTCTGCTGTACAATCTCAGCGGCCGGCAGTCAAGAGTGAACCGTCATGAATACCTCCCATTCATTTCGGACTCGGAGTCCAAGGCGCTGACAAAGACGACATGGGGGATGAACTGGATGACGGGTATTTCTTAAGGCCCATATCGAAGCGTTCGAATGTAGATGACATGGATCCCGTTCTCGTCAACATTCTCCAGCGAAAATCATCATACAGGTTGGACCGGCCCCGAATTGAATTCAAGTTACTGCGTTCGTCGAGCTCCCTTGCGCACGCCCTTTCCTTCGACCCAACTTCCAGTTTGCTATGCAACCCGAACCCAGAACTTGTCTAACCGCTACGGTTGATTGATTGATAAGTTGCAATAACTTCAAATATCTATTGCGGTAGAGTAGTTTCCCGTTTCTTTGCTGGGACCTCCAAGACGATATCGCATGCACACTCGAGTACGCCAACTGGTATCGCATAAGTTAGTCCTCTTAAGCATTAGACGTCCAGTAATACCTGGCTGGGAATAGTCTCGTAAACCAAACTCAAGGGCCCGTATGAATACATAAGTCGTTCAGTGGACGAATAAATCGTCGTTCACCTTCTAGTTATACCACCCTAGGGCTTCCAAGGCGATGAAGCAGGTCCTCCCACTCCCGCTGTGAGGTACATTGCACTGCCGTTCTGCGCAATGTAAAAGCAATCTTCGAGGCGCACGCCGACCTTGCCCTCGATCTACACTCTCGGCTCGTCAGAGAAAGTATGCCCTGTCTGTAGGATGACCTCATTCCCCCCATTCAAGTTAGGGTCCTCATGGACCTCCAAGCCAATCCCATGTCCAAGGCGGTGCGTGAAGTTCTTTGCGTACCCCGCAAGATCGAGAAAGAACCTCGTCGCCTCGTCGACGCGCTTGGCGACTACACCTGCATGGGCAGTTCCAAACGCGATATTCTGGGCCGAGTGGACAATGTTCCATATTTGGAGATGAGTTTTGGGGATGGTGGAGGCGGGGAGGGCGAGTGTACGTGTGACGTCGCTCCAGTAGCCGTGCAAGGAGGCGGTGCAGTCGAATAAAGCAAAGTCTTCGGGGCGGAGACGGCGATCTGTGCCGCTTCCGTGGGGGAGGGCGGCGTTTTCTGAGCGCGGTGAGATGGATTAAGTCAGGAAAGGATGGGTGCGTACCTCCAAATAAGGTAAGGCATCCACCGTCTTTTAATCCGGCGTCGGCGAGGGCGCGTGCGATGAGGTTTCGGGCGTCGGACTCGCGCATGCCGATGTGCATTTGTTTGTGTGTTTGATGGCTGGAAGAGTCGCCTATGGGTGTATTAGCATCTCCAGTATATGTAATCAAGACACGCACACCTCGTTGGCACGCTTAAGCAATGCTAGCTCTCCCTCCGACTTGCGTTCTCGAAGTTGTCTGATCTTTGTGGGTGCAGCAATCACAGTAGCCTTTGGGAACGCCGTTCGTAGGCCATCAACGATGAAATGACGAATACTTCCATCTACAAACACGGTCCCTTTGATGTCAAGTAGCTGCGAATACGGAACCTCATCCTCTGCTCATTCCACCCACATCACATCAGACAAGATAGAAAGTAACAGAGCACGCGTGCTTTTGAACTTTGGCGTAAGAACCGTCACCCGGGCAGAGGCATCCGCGATAAGCAGTAGAGGTCTCTCGGAGAGGTGCCAGTGCGGAGTCGAGATGTTGGCGTAGTACAGAGCGCTTGCACCGGGCTCAGCGATGTATGCAGAGGCGTTGAGAGCGGTGAGAGTCTTGCCGAGGGTAGACAAGCGGGTGTGGAACTCGGAGGCGGAGAGTGGGCCGAGGTGTGAGCAGTGAGAAGACGTCTTGCTGACCACTTTGCTAGGCAGACGCGATGGGTAAGGGTAAACTATCAAGCACGCTGCCACCAACGCAAGACAGAGCAGGTACCATCCCCTTCGTTTAGCCTGGGGCGGCGGCGACGCTTCGACCTTGCTTTCAGATGCTATGGAACGCCAAGTCAAGTACCGGCCCGAAGCACCTGCCAGGATATGCCGCAAATCCCGGCCCGAAGTCTCAATTTGTCAATTCCTCTTTTTGCCCTTGAATACCATGGCTTCGCCAACCCCGCTCCCCCAGACTCAGAGTAGCCCGAAACGTCCACTGCTACTCCAGAAAAATTAGCGGAACCCACAAAACTCGGTCGGCCAAACCAACCTTAGCGGCGGCGTCTACCAACGGCGACTGCCACGCCATCCTTTCACATTATTAGTAATTACTCGACCCGCATTCACTCTCGCAGCATCGCGCCAGCGTTTAATGAAGCAGATACATTCAATTGTGATCTGTCAGCAAGTCTTCTTGCTTTCTTCCACCATGGCTTCCCCCACCTCGCCTCCCCCAAAGCAACTGGAAACATTCACCTCTGCACCCGAAAACCAGGATACGCAGTCGAAAACCTACGCATACAGCGTTGAGGACGGCTATTTTTCGTTATGCTTGGCTGTCCGTTGCACGTAGCTCACGACGAGGTGATCACAAGGCAAACGTCATCCAAACCTATTACACACAATCTTGGACATCGCATTGGCTTCGACGTGCATAAGGATCTGTACCTAAATGGTGGGAGCGAGGCATTCTTCGAGACGTTCTCTAGACAGGCTATTCATTCTCAGAACTCGCCAGGGTTGTATATCGAGGCCCGAGGATATTAACGGTTCGATTTCACGGCTTCAACTCATACATATTCACTAATTACCTCACATTTCTGACACTACCATCGCATTCTGACCTCGAATCTCCTCTGTTCCTACGTTGTATGACAGAATATACTTCTTTCTCCAATTCCAATACGCTCCCTACGTAAATGACCATCGCTTGAACTCTAAGAGAGGCAAAGTCGGCAGTGTATGCCTTGTGCTTTTACATTGTGCGGAACGATAGCGCAATGCTCACACCTATCTTCGAGTCAGTTCTCTTTCGTGTCTTCCAGAGTATAAGTGGAGTTGACAACTTAAATTTTAGGGAAGCTTCCCGTAGATTGCAAGGCCATACTTTGCATGGTACGTGGTCATAATTGCGTGACATCAATCACTACTAGTGACGGCGTATATTTAGATGTGCTCTGATCCTTCTGCCAAAGATGTGGGAAAGGCAAAGCAAGCTGTTTTTGATGTCTACAGCATCTCTTTCCACAACCATTACCATCTCCTCAGGATACACGAACGGCGACTCGATGGCGAAGATTTTTACCTTGGTTAAGAACACGGCAAAAAAGGCTATTCCCTTTGTCAAGAAGAGGGGCATTGAGACTCTTACAATGCCTCTGGAATGTCTAAAGGTACGTGGTCACCAGATTTCAGCAGGTGATTGTTGTTGCTGATGGTCATCTAGGCGGCTTCTGGGTTAATCCCGGTACCTGCCCTTGGACCAACAACGGATATTGTCCTTTCGATCTTGAAAAAGGTAGATCAGAGCCAGCAGAATACGGGGACCGCCCATGAAATTGGAAATCTGTGCTTGAAGGCTCATGTCACGTTATCTGAGCATCTGCAGAGCGTGGAAATCACGTCTACACTATTGGACGGTATTCGACAATTTGAAGCGTATGTCCTTCTTTACCTTGCTCAGTCATCTTTTATCTGAGTATGCTGATAGGGATTTACATGACGTTGAAAACACTGTCGAAGAGTACGAACGAAAGATGTCGATGGATCAAATTCTTTATTCTAAATCATACAGCGATGAATTGCAACGTCTCGAAAAATGGGTTAACAGTACCCTGTCGCTTTTCCAAGTAAGCAGTACAGCACTCTCCTGATTCGGATGTCGTTTTACCGATTGTTTTAGATCAAGAAGTTACTTTCACTTGATGAAACCTGCGCAAAGATTCAACATCCTTACAGCACATCGAACAGAATACTGTAGAGAATAATGCATCCCTACAGCACATCGTGAAATTGCTGCTTATGAACCGCTCTGAACCTGCTCCGAAACCCGAAGAACCACTGGTAGATGTAATTTAAGCCTTCCTGACAAAAACTGGAAGGGGTGCTCATGAAACCTTTAGATTGTGCGGAGAAGTCAGCTCACTCTCTGCGAAGAGATCTTTCATGGTCCAGGGTATAGCATTCAAAGAGCAGAAATGGATGGAAAGATCGTTACCATCAAAGTGTTCACAGGCTGTAAAGCGAAATCGGTACGATACCCATGTTCTCATTCTAGGCTGTTGGTGCTAAGCCATTGCTAGACCTGGGAAGCGTCAAATTTGATGGACTTGAAAGTTATGTACGTGGTATTAATATTCTGCACGTGTTGGTTACATAGCTGTTCTGTAGGCATCCCAACGTAGCTCACCTTATCGGGGTTTCAAGTTCTGATGAGCGGGGGGCCCTGTTCTCGGTGTACAATCTCGGTGATATAATTACCTCGTGCTTGGAGTGAATGCCTAATTTACAGAATATACAGATATCAAGGACGATATTCACGATGTCATTCAGTCATGGTCAATGATTGATTCCGATATCATTCTCTATCCTTTGCTCGACAAAATGGTATGTATAGCGACACCTGTGATCAGCTGTTCCACGTTCTTACAACTGAATCAACAGTTTAAGGATATAGACGTAGGCGACAGCTGTTTGTATCGTTTTTATGTACTCATTTTCACCCAGAGCGGATGGACTCATTTGTGCGAACAAATTTGTCTGTTTGCTCCGTTTGGCGAAGTAGTAAGCACGACAGTATCCTTGATACTCATAACTGAATGCCATGATACAGGACTGTGATCTTCTTTATGATGCCCACGGACGATTCGTCGTCTCACTCCCTCCAGAAGCGGCCAGCTCCCCAACCGCCTTGGTCTCTCCTGCGGACGATATCGAAATACTTGAGTTTGTGATGGGCGACACCCGCCATAACGCTGAGGTTGGTACTCCTGTTTGCTTGGATTGAACTGCTTGTTGACAGTGCGAATGCAGGTCGTTAGAGTAAATCATATCGGTTTGTCTATGCTTGAATTTGTCCACTGACCAACCACTTAGACGATAGGTACGTGGGTGAAAGCACAACGTCCACTAATTTTTCGTTTCATATGGACGTGAGCTTAAACCTGCGGGGACTTGTTTGGCAGACGACCAGTGGTTATGACACGGACGTATGTGAGATCTCACAGACATATAGCATTCATACCGACTTACCTTACAATGCAGTGATTCAGGAATCAAGACTTGTTTTCGGATCGTAAGCCAAAAGCCCAGGCCTAGGCTTTTCGTAGTAGACTAGTATATGACAACTTTCAATACTAGACATTCTTGCTGATGACGCGCATATACCATGTTGTGTCCAGTACTGGGTACTGAGGCACAGCGCCAAACATCCGTCAGCCTCGACCGGAATTTTTGGTTATGCGTCTGGTGAGCAATTCCAGAACGACGATAAAAACACTGTACAACTGCGGTATCATTTCAAGTTCTCGGCTTCAATCTTCTTCAGCCTCTTCCCCCCTGTGCACACACATATCAGCACCCAACGTCGCGTCCACAAAAGGAACTCATACTCGTACCTATGGCTCGAGTTGCGCGCATATTAAAAATTCCATGTCAAAAATATATGTGGATCAGTTCAGTAACTCAAGTTAAATCGCACTGCGCGAAGCTTACAAGCAAGTCAATCACCTCCCCAACATCCTCGTCTTGTACCGGCTGGGCCACAAATACTACATCACTCTTTGTCTTTGCCTTCGAGCCTCATCGCATCTATCTGTCGCTTGTCTCATACGTGATATCTTCACCCTCTACCCAGTATCGTCCCAGTCGCATCATCTCCGCCCATATTTCAAACGACTGGAATGGCAGAGCCAGCGCCAACTTGACTCGGAGGAGACAGTGAGGGATCGCTGCGCTTATCGAGCGCCTTGTACTCTGGGAGTCAACTATCCAGAGATTACACGCGTACGTACCAATCTCAGCATCTGCCGTGTTGTACAGTTGCCCTTCCTGTGTGCTGTGTGACTTAGAGGAGGAAGTTCCGCAGCCGGATATTCCTTTAGTGATTTTTCGATGGTAGATCTTTGCGTGTCATATGGTGTTATTACTCGGAACGACTTGTTGCGCTCCTGCAAGATCTTCGCAACCTTGACCACTGCCTAGGGTTCCTTTTCGTCCTGAACCCAAGCGTGAATGAGTCGAGACGATACATGGCTAGAGGGAATACTTACAATCCTGCTTTGATGTTCCCGTCCTTTCGGTATGTTGACAAAACGGCAACAGGTCTTCGACGATATGTTACGGATAGTCTTGTGTTTTTTATTGTAGACATGTTCGGATATAAAATCCCCGATTGGCATAGGCATGCGATCTGTGACCGTATGAGCACACGTAGCATGCATGAGCAAGGGATTTCACTCACACTGGTGTCAAGAAAGTGTATTTTCCGCCAAAGGTGCTGCTTTTCAAAGACACTTTCCAACTCTGAGATGTCACTGTGACCATAGGGCAGCACTACAAGTTCTGCTGAGATGATGGCAAGTTTTGGAAAGAGACTATAAACATACGCTGTTTGTCGTCTCCGATGAAGACCATCTTCTGCAACGAAGATGAATACCGACGAATCACGGGTAAATCGCTACCAATTTCGATCTGTATTGCTACGTTGAAAATGATTGATTCTACCGGTACTATCTGCGCGATAGTGGATAACCTGGTGCAGTACATACTAGGACAGCATACTGAGGGTGCGAAGGCACTGACGAAGTATGATACGCGAACCCAGAAGCAGCGTCTCCATAGCTACTCTGCTGCTGGGGAAATCATCGGAACGAATAAGACCGGACTGTATCCATATATACAAGTGCTCACGCCTGCACAGTGCAAAATGTGACTGAGTGAGGAGATTCAAGTACTTTCTTGAATACGGGCGAATGCAAGAAACGCACCCCTCGGAATCTGCCGCAAATACCGGGCCGAAGTTTCCTCTCAATTTGTCAACAACTCCTCTCGGTTTCTGCCACCATGGCTTCGCCTACCCTGCCTCCCCCAGACTCAGAGCAGCCCGAAACATCAAAATCTACCCCCGGAAAAGTCCCTGAGCCCACAAGTTCTGAAGACCAGTCAGCAGAACCGACCCCGGCGGCGACGGCGGCGGCGCCTACCAACGGCGACTGGCAAGCTATCTTTTCACCCCAGCACAACACGTATTACTTTTACAACACCGTCACGGGCCAGACGACATGGGAAAACCCTTTGATGCCTCAGCCTGAACCCCAGCCTGAAACGGCAGCGTCTTCCTCATCTTCCTCATCCTACGATGCTGCTCTAGCAGCAGGTATCGACCCTTCCCTCGCCTACCTCGACCCTTCCCTCTCTGCCGGACCCAGTGGGAGCGTCGGTGCCTACACCGCCACGGCAAAGTTCAACGCGCGCACTGGCCGCTTCACAGCCAACGACGCCCGTGATCCGAGCCATATGTCCGAGTATGAAAGAGCGAAGCGGATGAGTGAGTTTTATTTTGATGTGGGGGCGTGGGAGGCCCAGAGGGATCAACAGCAGCAGCAACAAGAGGAGGAAGGGAAGAAGAGGAAGAGACCAAGTAAGAAGGATTTGGTGAGTCCTAGGTTTTGTGTTTTTTTTTTTTGGAGGTGCTGGGCTAATGGTTATGTAGGATCGTTTCAAGGAGCAGAAGAGGCTTAAAAAGATCGCAAAGACTGCTTGGTTGCGAACTTGATCATATGTTCTTTTTCACAGTTGATTCAAGTCACATTATTTTTCTCATTGCTTCAACGTACACGTATATATCAAACGGCCTGCCAGGCTACAATTTACGTCGTATTCGCCGGCCAAAAGCCTTACAGGTAGAAATAACTTTAAGAGCTCGTTCACTTCGTCGCGCCGTTCTCCTTCCTCCTGATTTCAGGCTCAACCGGAAATCTCTGATCGTCAGGAGAAACAGAGTACAATCTCTTCCATATATGTTGCAGAGGCCCTGGCGTCTTCCAAGCGAGCTCGTCATTGCGAAGCCACAGCCGGATCAGGTGTCGTCTATCCCATCATAATAATATCATCAGAAACCCCCGCAAGAAACCATTTACATCAACACTCACGTATGCTCCTCGTCATCCCGGAACGCATCCCGGGAATGCAACAAGCCCAGACTGTTAATATATTGAATATCGCCCTTTTGGAAATTCAACCCCAAGGAATGCTTCTCAGCGGCGAAATGCAGCGCATCGAGTGCTTCCGCCTGAGCCTCGGAGATGGGTGGTATATGCAGACTTCGTTTCTGCAACCCGTACCCCGTGAAATGTCGTCGGGAGTACTGAATTATGACGTGTCCGTCTTCCTCGTTGTAGAAGAGGAGCGGACGCGTCGTGTACCCTGGAGATCCACCAAAGCTATGAACATGAGCGTATAACCCAGACGTAAAAGACTCGTCAAACACACCTATCCAGAGGCCAGGGCTCCGCGAGCGTACGGATAATATCAGGGCGCGTCGCTGCGATATCATTGTACACCTTCCCTGCGCTGCTGATCCTCGACACGCCGCCCTCAGCAGCAGACTGGATAGCCAGCAAGGCAATGAGGTCCCCGACATCGGTGTGGAAGACCTGTTTGTCCGTCGTGTATGCCGAGTTCCCGATCCCGCCTTGCTCGTGGGCGTGGCTGACGGTGAGGTCTTTGATGTGCGCGAGGACGGACCCGGTGGAGTCTTGTTTTCCTCGGGCGGAGCCGACGTGTGAGGATATACCTGTTGGGGGTGAATGTGAGTCGAGATGGATCCACACTGGGAAATGAAATGAGAAGAGCGTACCAGCGTAGAGGATCGCCAATTCTGTTTTGGTGTACTGCTCGATTGGGATGGTTCGTAAGACGAAGAATCCCCGGCCAGAATAGAGCTCGCGAGCGAGGTCCTTCAGGGTGGGGCTTAAGGTAGGAAGGGGGAACGTCTCTCTGCTTATGTAGCCTAGTGGTTTTCCCGTGCCTAGTAAAAATTCGGTTAGATATAATTCGAAAATAAAGGAGAGAGGGGGGACCTTTGAAATACTGGAGTGCCCGGTCGATCTCCTCCAGCTCGGCGTCACGAAGCTGGTACACCCACTGGTCCTCGCTCGTCCAGTCTTTGCCCTCCCAGACGATAGGCCCTTCCACGCGAGGAGGGAAACCCTCAGGGAGGGCAACCTCCGGAAGAGAGGGATCTTCAGCCAGACGACGCGCCGTACGCGCATGATACTTGGCCTTGTCGGGGTGGTACGAGATGTCAGGTTGCTTCGAGTTTGAGTCGTCGGTGATTGAAATACCCATAACTCTTCCTTGCCTGTCTGTCCGTCCGTTCACTTGACGCGCCCTATAAATAAGGAACACGGATGAGAAAAACCTCAGGGACCAAGACGAGGGGTTCTTGACGCGATGTATACCCGACCTGCAGGGTGGGATAATTAAGGATTGGATAAATTGGCCTTTGGAAGGTGTGCCTTGTATAATGGGAATGCGATACCCGCCTTCTCACACGCCAGGGGTGGGTCTTGCGAATTTAGAGGTGAGGTGAACTTGACGCTGTTCGGTACCGGGGTTAAGATCTAAGGGCCCGCACGAGGACAAAGAAGTGCCCTGTTGGAGAAATTTGAGAGACTAAAATCGTGGGCGGAGGATTAAATATGGGGGTAAATGGGAATATGGGGGGATCAATGTCTCCGAATGTCTGGTACGTATATGTTTCCGGTAAACGTAACCGTAGGCTTGGTCCGAATATCGTGAGGGAAGGTACGGGGAGCCGATGTGAGCACGATGCGTTGTAGAGGGCCTTGGGAGAAGGTGGCGGTGGGTTCGACTTCTTGTGTTTCTGGAGGTGAGTCGTGGATTACTTCGTCGACGTAAGAAGACACACCTGCTTAATTGTTTGCACTAGGAGTTGGTAGGAGTGTTGAGTTTAGTGCCAGGGCCGGACGGTCCGGGATCGTTCATTTGTTCGTTCTTTCCCTTACCGTTTGTTCGCAGGCTAAGTGCTAATGCAAATGATCTATCCACCCTATGGGGGAGCCGCATCTGCAGGGGTGGTCGACTGTAAGAATACGAACCCGTCATCTTTACGTTCCCGTTTCCCTCTCCGACAGGCATTAGGAATGGTGATTTTCATTTCAAGGCTAGTGCATGCCGGAATAAACGCGTGTATTATCAGATGTTCATACCCGAGGTCCTAGGATTGGTGAGTTACTCCTCCACTTGCAGTTCCGTTCAGTCTGGCTTTGGCAATGGTAAATGGATTTAGACCTATAGAATTAATATGTATCAGTGACTTGACAGACGTTGACAGTACGAATTATACGAGCTCTCCGATGGTAATATTCTCCTCTTTTTTCCGGCTCCGCGTGTCTTTGCAGCCGGGTTACTGTCGAGATTAACGTGATCACACCACCATTAACGTTGATTTGCCCTAGCTTTAGCGGCAAATATACGTGATGTTACACTCAAATATACAACTATGAAACCGTCCAGTGACCCAACCAAAGCGAACAGCACGAAACTCACCATAAGCACGTTATACAGCCTCCACAACATCCTCCACTCCTTGTTCCGGCTCCGCAAACACTACATTATCCTTGGTCTTCGGAGCTGGATTGCTATCGAACGTCATCACCACCCTCAACGTCGACTTTCCCCTCGTCTCGTACGTGATATCTCCATCCTCCTCTCCCCCGTCTACCTCGTCATGCACTTCCACCGTCCCAGTAGTATACTCCGCCCGGACCTCGAACGGTAGAATCGGAGGCAGAGCTAGGGCTAGCTTGAGGAGGTGGGGGATCGCTGCACCCATTGCGCTGAGATGGAGAGTTTTGTATCTGCGAGTTCTTTAAGCATACAAGAAAGGAAGGAAGGAGACGCAGACGGCGTACCCATTTTTCACAGCGAGGTCCTTACACCGCCGCATATACGCTCCCAGCGACGTCTTGCGTGTTATACAAATGAGGTTCTTGCCCTCTTTATGTGCTGAGCGTGGGCCTGTGGCAGATACGGACGTTGGGACTATCGGGAAGGGTCTTGGTGCCGAGAGTCGTCTCCTCTTGCGATGCGTTTCAGGTTCTGCAATCGTATGGTCATCAGCAGTCAATAATTTGACACGCTTTTACGGGATTCACGAGAGTCATTCTTGCGCTTGTTTGCCATCCGAGTCCGTGTGATGAATCAGTACAGTGATCAAGGTCAAGTGGCCACTTTAAGCAGTCTTCCTTTTTACCATCATCACGGTCACCTGGCCTTGCTCATTTCCCATTTCTTCTCTTTATTCGTTTTCCGTTTCTACATAAACAAAACGCATATACGATGTCCTCAAGATGTGGCAGAGCAGAATATTCAGATGTTGAAAATCAAGAAACTGATCAAGAGTCTTGATTCTGCTAGAGGGTACGTCCTTCCTTCCTGCTTGCTTGTTCTTACGATACTGAATTACTCTTCAGAGCAGGAACGTCTATGATCAGCCTGATCCTTCCCCCAAAGGTCCGTCTTCGCGTCAGCGTAACCATAATGTGGTATTAATCGGCAACTCCACAGGATCGAATATCCTGAACGTCTGCCGTGTTGACGCAGGGATACGGTACAGCGTCCAACATCACATCCCGAGTCAATCGTCTCTCCGTCCTGGCAACCATCATCAAAACCCAACAGCGCCTCAAGCTCTACAACCGAGTCCCTCCCAACGGCCTCGTGTTCTTCGTCGGCACGATTCTAACAGACGAAGGCAAGGAAAAGAAGGTCTCATTCGATTTTGAGCCTCACAAGCTTGTTGACACGTACATCTCCCAATAAAATGAAAAACAAGTATCCTGATCACCCGACCTCCAGGTCCCTCTACCTCTACGACAATAAATTCCACACCGAAGCCCTCTCAGAACTTCTCAAGTCCGATTCTCGCTTCGGGTTCATCGTCATGGACGGAAACGGCACTCTTTTCGGGACGCTCGCAGGGAACACCCGCGAGGTCATCCATAAATTCACCGTCGACCTCCCCAAGAAGCACGGTCGAGGAGGTCAGTCCGCGTTGCGTTTCTCTCGTCTTCGTGATGAGAAGAGAAACAACTACGTGCGGAACTGGCGGTGCAACATTTCATCACCAACGATAAGGTCAACGTCACGGGCCTCGTGTTAGCAGGAAGCGCGGATTTCAAGACGGAGCTCGGTCAGAGTGATATGTTCGATTTGAGATTGGGGGCTAAAGTTGTGGATATTAGTTATGGTGGGAGGATGAGTTTAATCAGGTAGGATTGGTGATTTGTGGGGGGGATCGTGGTTTCTGATTATGGTTCTTTAGGCTATCGAACTCGCCGCAGAGTCTCTTGCGAACGTCAAGTTTGTGCAGGAGAAACGGCTCATCCAAAAGTACTTTGATGAGATTAGTCAGGATACGGGTAAGTACTGCTTTGGTATCAAAGACATGCTCAAGGCTCTCGAACTTGGAGCCGTCGAGACTCTGATTGTATGGGAGAACCTTGATATTACGCGTTACATTCTCCGTAATGCCGCTGGAGGTACGCACCCCTCCTTTACTTACCCCTCCTTCTCATCCACTAACTACCCCACAGAGGAAATCGTCATCTACCCCAACAAAGAACAAGACCAAGGCCGTACCAAATTCCTCGACAAATGCACCGGCCTCGAAATGGAACAATCCGAAGAACCATTCTCACTGTTTGATGTCCGTTGTTATTATAGCACCTTGGAATATGATAGAGCGATCCAGAGAAGAGCAGATTCAATTTCATCGAAACTGGAGCCCCAAACTCATCAGATCCATTCATGAAAGATCAACGAGCCGACTTGTCACCATATGCTCAGATGTCTTAAGGCATTGCGAGTTGTCCAGCAGAGGAAAATACGAACGGGGAATGCTGAGCAGTGGGGATAGTGGTAACGAGGCAACCTAGTAGGATAGCTGTATGGTGCTTGAGACATAATGTAAAATAAAATACTTGATCTGATTTTCAAAGGCAGGCGCAGAAAGTATAGAGAATTATGATGATAAAGATAGCAAGAAGCTGAGGATAAAGTCTGCACGAAATATTCCCAGTGGCTCCACAGATTGTTTTGTTGACACGGATAATGTCAGTTTGAGATCAATTGCAGATTGAGATGGTGACAGAGCAACTGACCTCTTACCGTCACCACCACTTCACCATGACCATCACGCCCTTTTGGCAGACTTCCACCGCGAGTCTCTATCTGCTTGCAGGGACATACCCAATGCAGGGATCTAGATACCGCCCTTTGCCCCTGTCATCGACTTCTCTCTCCTCCGCCAGTATGCCTTTCAGGATCGGTGGCTACTATATGTCTTTCCCCGCAGTCTACAGAGTGATGGAAGCATTTGAAATACCCAATCCCATGAACTACGACGACACTCTGCTCGAATTTGCCATCACCACTACCACTATGTTTCTGGTTTCATAGACTTTGGCGCTGCTACAGGCTCACTGTTTCCTGTCGAAATGGTGTCCTTTGCTCCTCGCAGTTGCCAGATGCTTGCGTTGTGTCGTTGTCATAGGTCGGGCATCGCTACAGGCACACTGTTTGTCATTCAAACGATGGGCTTGATCATTTGCGGTTTCCTGATACCTGCGTTTCGTGGTTTTCATAGGCTTGGGCGCTGGTACAGGCACACTTTTTCTAGCCATAAGGTGTGCTTGTTTCCTCACCATTGCCCAACACCTGCGTTGTGTCGCTGTCATAGGCTCGAGCACCGCTACAGGCATGCTGTTTGTTATGCAAATGGTAGGCTTGGTTGTGTGTGGTTGTTCGACACCTGCGTTCGTTGGTTTCCATAGGCTAAGGCTTGAGCTCTGCTATACAGGCGCACTGTTCGGTGAAATGGTGTGCTTCGTCTGTCATGTTCGCCTGATGCCTGCGCTTCCCGGTTGTTACGTCCGCTGGTGGTCTCCTTTGCGAAGGATCTCACCAGTCTGGTGGTACTCAGTGTTTCGTTGACACAGGCACTCTCTTTTTCGAAGGAGCTTGCCTGTTTCGTTGTTCTTGGTTCCCGTTTCATCGCTTTCATGGGCTAAGGCCCGAGCATCGCTGCAGTCTGTGGTTCTTTCTTTCTTGGTGGATGAGTCGTACGCTCCCATTGTGCTTGATCTCTTCTCATTGCTGCTAACCTGTAACTTTCCATACACCCCATGGTCCGTGCACCATGTCTCACTCTCCCGTTACGTATTTCTCATTTGTTCACATGTTCTTTCATCGTCATTACTGACGCACATGCCTCATGAGCCACTTCATAATACTCCTCCTTTTCGACGGCAGTGCCTCTCAAAGGAGTCATACACTGCACCGGATTTTCAAGGTACACGTCTGGTTGCTCGATCGCGCATTGTTATCTACGTTCTGTCTCATCCCCATCACTTTTCATTCAATCGTGTACCCTGCGAAGAGTCTCTACTCCGCGAGACGCACTCAACAGTGTGATTACAACGGTATGAGCCTTCGCAGCCACAGCGCATGGTTCGCCATGTCAGGGCTGTGGACCCGGCCGTTCCTTATTGGGACCTGGCGCCGGTAACACCACCACCACCACCACCACCACCACTAGCGTACCGCCACCATGTTCCTGGTTTCATAGGCTTTGGCGCTGCTACAGGCTCGCTGTTTCCTGTCGAAATGGTGTGCTTGGCTCCTCGCGGTTGCCAGATGCTTGCATTGTGTCGCTGACATAGGTCAGGCATCGCTACAGGCACACTGTTTGTCTTCCAAACGGTGGGCTTGATTATTTGCGGTTTCCTGATACCTGGTTTTCATAGGCTTGGGCGCTGGTGCAGGCACACTTTTTCTAGTCATAATGGTGTGCTTGTTTCTTCACCATTGCCCAACACCTGCATTGTGTCGCTGTCATAGGCCCGAGCACCACTACAGGCACTCTGTTTGTTATGCAAATGGTAGGCTTGGTTGTTCGACACCTGCGTTCGTTGGTTTTCATAGGCTAAGGCTTGAGCTCTGCTGTACAGGCACATCGTTCGGTGAAATGGTGTGCTTCGTCGGTCATGTTCGCCTGATGCCTGCCTCATAATATGTTCAACACTGGTAAAAGGCAAAGTCAATATGAGATCCTTCCCAAATGTTATCTTCCCTTTCCCCTTCCCTTCCCCGTATCTTGTCACTCCGAGTCTGTGGTATCGTCACGATGCACTCCGTCCGTTTCTTTGTGGTCTGTGTGTATGTCTCATATCTGTCTCGCTTTCTCTTGTGGATATTACACAAAGTCCGTCTTGCATTTTTGTTTTCGTCATGCATTGCCGCCAAATCTGCCAGTGCTTACAACGTTGGTACTAATGGGGCCCGTATCTCTCGAAGTCTCCCGTGATTTTCGGGGCGTTCAAGACGTGGATAAGTCAAGAAGTCTTGTTTGAAGGAATTGTCCGTACTTTAGGAATTATTACGCTTCACTCCTGTTCTTTATTGTACCCCATGAAGAATCTCTACTCCGCGAGACGTACGCAACCGTGCGATCAAAACGGTACGAGCCTTCATGGCCACGACGCATGGCTTGCCATGTCAAGGTCGTGGACCCGGCTGTTCCTGATTGGGACCTTGTGCCGGTACCAACACCAACACCAACACCAACACCTCAAACTGAGGCTAAGTTAATTGGCGTCACACGCCCATATTAAGGTCAGACAACTCAAAATGTGACCTCGAAGAGATAGCATCCGTTTGGCGCGCACATGGTGGTCAAGTTGATGTCATTCCAGAATGGTGGTGATAAGTGGTCGGTCAGTAGACAAATTCAAGCATAGGCAAAAACCAATGTGATTTACTCTAATGACCTGCATTTGCGTGTCAACAGGTACTTCAAGCCAAGCAAACACTCATACATTTTGATATCACCCGCAGGAGAGACCAAGGCTTTTGACTCTTCCAGACGGAGCGAGACAACGAATCGGTCACGGGTATCATAAAAAATATCAAAGCACTGTATCATGGCATTCAGTTCTGAGTATCAATAAGTATACTGTCATGCTTACTATTTCTTCAAACAGAGCAAACAAACAAGTTTGTTCTTTCAAATGCTTGCATGCGCTCTGGTTGAAAATAAGTGCATAAAAGCAATGCAAGCAGCTATCACCTACCTCTACCTCATCAGACTGTTGTTTCAGTCATAAGAACATGAAACAGCTGATCACAGGTCTCGCTATACGCACCATTCTCTTTAGCAAAGTATCGTCAGAATCCATCATCATCAATCTTGGCAGGATGATATCTTCCAATCGGCACTTGATATCTGTATATTCGTAAATTGGGCATTCACTCCAAGCAGGAGGTAATTATATCACCGAGATCATACACCGAGAACAACGCCCCCCGCTCATCAGAACTTGAAACTCCGATAAGGTGGGGTAGATTGGGGTGTCTACAGAACAGCTATGTAACCAAAATGTGAAGAATCTTAATGGCACGTACATAACTTTCAAGTCCAACTCATTTGACGCTTCCCACGTCTAGCAATGGCTTAGTACCAATAGCCTAGAATGAGGGCACGGGTTTTGTACCGATTTTGCTTCAGAGCCTGTGAACACTTTGATGGTAACGATCTTTCCATGCATCTCTGCTCTTTGAAAGCTATACCCTGGACGACGAACAATATCTTTGCAGAGAGTGAGATGACTTCGCCGCACAATCTACAGGTTTTATGAGCACCCTTTTCAGTTTTTGTCAGGAAGGCTTAACTTACATCTACCAGTGGTTCTTCTGGCTTTGGAGCAGGTTCGGAGCGATTCATGAGCACCACAGTATTCTGTTCAATGCGCTGTAGGTATGCATAAATCTTTGCGGAGGTTTCTTCAAGCGAAAGTAACTTCTTGATCTAAAACAATCAGTAAAAGGACATCCAAGTCAGGAGAGCGTACTGCTTACTTGGAAAAGCGACAGTGTACTGTTAACCCGTTTCTCGAGGCGTTGCAATTCATCGTTGTACGATTTAGAATAGAGGGTTTGATCGATTAACATCTTCTGTTCGTACTCTTCCACAGTGTTTTGGAAGTCGTTCAAATCCCTATCAGCACACCCATATAAAAGCAATGATTGAGTAAGGTAGAGAAGGACATACGCTTCAAATTGTCGAATACTGTCCAATAACGTAGGCGTGATTTCTACGCTCTGCAGATGCTCAGATAACGTGACATGAGCCTTCAAGCACAGATTTGCGATTTCACGGGCGGTCCCCGTATTCTGCTGGCTCTGATCCACCTTTTTGAAGATCGAAAG